TCTTTCCCTTCAAAAATCCCATTTCTGATCTCATGTACTGAGTTTGGCTCACTGCCCTAAGCAGTGATTTCCAACTGACCTCTGTGGGAGAGCGTAATCAGGCCAGCTTTTAGCAAAAATGAATAAAATGGAGCTTTTCTGATTAGTGTTACATAAATAGGGCACGAAAGGGTCTTAATGCATCTTCCTTTCCATCCATATCTCTGTGCCACATCAGTATCACTTCTGACAGTTGTTCCTCTAGCCTGAACTTAAAGACCTCTAGTGATGGAGACTCCAAAATTCCCCAGGCAACTGATTCCAGATAAATCAAGAAGTCTGAAATGAACAAACTGAACATGAATTTAGAGACTTCTGACCTACTTTTGCATGCCCGAGTCATAATGTCAAACTCCATTTCACAGGGTAAAGGAGCATACACTACTGAATTCCTTGTTGGGAGACAGCATGTGCATAGATGAAATTCAGTGCAAAGAAAGGCACTCAGTTTTGCTTTTTTTTATATGTTTGAGAAAATTGCTTCAGGCAAGTGCACAGGTGGGCACAAGCATTAAAAGGAGGATATCCAGTGATGTCTTTGCTGGCAGTAAAAGATATCAGCTATTAGGGAACATACAGATCTGAGTACACTTCCACAGAACCCTTCTTTGGCCCTTCAATCAAACCCAGTATGCTTCATGAAATTACAACTTTTATTGGTTCCCCATTCTTTGGGGAAAGCATATTTATCGATTTATTTTTAGACATATGGAAGGGACACATACATACTGAGGATTGGGAATGGAAATAACCCACAGAGATATCAACAATGTCCTGTGAAGTAGTAAAGCTTGCTCCCACTGAAACCCAGCCTCAAGCTCTCCAGTGATGCTGCTGATCACTGATTAGGAACTCATTAGTTACTTCCATGTACTAACAACTGTTGCCAATGCCTTAAAACTTAATGCCTCCAAAGTTGCGCAATTTTGGGTAGGAAAACTGAAGAAGGAGCCAGTACCTTCCCTTGTGCGATTCTCTTAAACAGTTTTACTGCAATTATTTATGTTATCTGGATAGAAGTGGATATTTTGCTTCCTCCAGTCACAGCTGTGGACAACCTTTACTGAGTGACAGAGGCTAGAGTCAAAAATAAAGGAAGAAATACTGAGGCTGAATAAAGTCACAAATGAAGAAACTGGCCATAGCAGGCAGGTGTTTTTCTGCTGTTCTGGTTAGATTGCACTGGACAAAGGGTTAACACATACAGTTCCCTAACGACCCCAAGCAAGCTAGGCATAGATTTATGACTTAAGTTGTTTGGGTTTTTCTTCTAAACATGTATGTTTCTATGCAGCTCTGTTCCCTCTGCTCCCAGTGGCTGCTCACTCCTTTGTAATCATTCCAATAGAACTGATAACCCAAACCAGAAATGTATCTCGGATGATGGTTTCCTTGTTTGAATGCTTTTTGCTGTTTTCTAGGGCAAAAAGTGTGCAGATGTGGCCAACAGGAATCACTCAGATAAGAGCAGAGACTCTTTGTGCATGACCTGGGCAGCAAGGGTTTCAAGAGCTGGTGAGTCTGTTGATAGAGCACTGTGGCAGTAATTCAAAGCACCTTTTGCTATCTTTCTCTCTATGTAACATCCTTTTTGCTTCTACTATCTACATGTCAACTAAGGACTTTGATTGGTTCCCCACTCTGGGAATATCCAGTTTTGTGCCAACCATCTAAGACTACATACTGTAAATAATTCATTAGTCACACAAAAGGGCAAAAGTGCTCCCAAATCTTACCAACCTGATGTTTCTTAACCCCCTTTTTAATCCTATCTTATAGAAAGAAAACATTACAGCTATATTTGTATTTAGCCCGGCATAGGTGAAATATCTTTCAGATTCAACACAGGTTGAGTAATTTTACAGTTTTGATTTCCCATGGGATTTGAGTTTCCTCTCTCCAATTTCTTATTAACAGATAGGTCACAGAGGTCCCAGCTTAAAGACTATGACAGTAAGCTATACTTAGATTCCCTGTCCTAAATTAATCAGTTATAATACAAACAGGTTTTTATTTTTTTGTAGTCAAGATATTCTTGCCAACTACAAAAGTTTTCTTTCAAAATAATTTTTTAAAGAAATCAAGAAAGGAGAGAAGTATGACCAGACAGCACCCCAAGGTTAACACAAGACCCTTCTATCTCTGAAACATAGATTAAAAATGTTGAGGTAAGCTCTCACAGACTTTAGGACATCTGAAATGGGTCTGGAGGTTCCAGGAAAACGTGATCTCTTAATGAAACTTTCAAGTTTGGTCATTACTTCTCTTGTAATAATTATAAGTTTTTGTCTGTAGACAATTTAAAAGGATTAAGAAAATTCACAGGAGCTAGTGGGAAACAACTACGAAAATAAAAGTTAACAGAGCTCTTTGTTTAAAGTTTGAGTTACAGGCTAGGTTAATTTGGTTTTAGTGGAAATGTGTTTCCTATCAGAAATCAAATTAATCTTGTACCACATCAAAAGAATTTCCATTCCAAGGAAATCCATTTCTGAGATACCAGAAGTGCTCCAGCAGCAGCAGAAACACAAGGCTTTTCAACATAACATATTGGAAAAATTTCAAATGACAACTGAGAGAGGCTGTTTAGAGACTGTCTCCCTTCACTTGTGGGATCTGCAGAAGAAATGGAGACAAGACAACTTCCCCTCCAGAGAAAACCTACAGTTTTGCTTTCTGAGCATTGGGAGAACTTGTGCAAAGAGCTCGCTGTTTACTCAGCACTCCTAACCCTACCACCAAAAACGTTTCCTCTGACTTGCTCTCTGCTTCCTCAGAAGCTTCCTCAGCTTTCTCTTCTCCATCCTCTCCTATTTAACTGCCCTAAAGTAGTGTAACAAAGATGCTTAGGCAATTTCATACTGATAGCTTCCCATGCAAGTGACTATCAGAGTGGTGTGCTGAAAAACAGGAGAAAGAGCTGCAGAGCACGTGGAAAGGCAAATGTCCAAATGGGATTCCTTCTAGGAAGCTGTAATCAACCTTGAGAATGGAGAATATGTCTAAACAGATGTATACTGAAGGATGTTTTAAATTGGAGTAATTAACTGGCACAAAAGATCACTCATTCAGCTGATCCAAAGCTTTATTCACTTCAGTGCCAGCTGGGTACACCCAATGGAACTTTTACTGAAGTTAAGGCAGTGTGATTTCCAGGCTACAATGCTTTACAAACCTCTCTCTCCTGTCTGTGGGTTTGGTGAGTCAGTACTTTCAGCAACATTAGGAAGGAGGACTTAAACTCTCTCTGCTCCACTTCTGAGATATTTCTGCAAACTGTATCTAGATTAAGTGAAAAAGCTTTGAGAGCCATCAGTGCCCTGTGACACAAACTGCAAATTTCCAAGCAGGAGTCATAGATCTGTGCGACCCTTCTTGCAATATCCCCTTTCCTAAAGCAGGATGGAAGAAAGCCCTTTGTTCCTTCTGTATCATCTGTCTTTGAAACACTATCCAGTAGCAGTGACTTTTTAGGACATAGCCTATAGCATGAAAATGAAAAATAATAAAGAAAATGTTCACATTAAGTAAGCTTACTACCCTCAGTAAGGCCTGAGGAAGCACACCCTGTAGCAACACACTTCTTGACAGCTCCTGTCTCCTCCAGATAGCATTCATCAGTGCAGTTTCCAATTATGCTTAATATTTCTCATTAGAACTCTTCTTACCTTGGCTGGGTAATTGCTTTTTGCTTATTGATTGTTTCTTAGGGTGTTTCTGACTTTAACTCAGAGGGCACGTAACATTTCAACATATCAAAGACTATTAGATATTCCTATGAAAAATGGAGAATTGACTTGATACATTTTAATTACGCCCTGTAGCTCTGACTGTGGGCTGAGAATTGGAGTTAGGGCTCTTATTCAGTAAAGCGATGGAAACACTGTACAGTTAGCTTATAACCTTACACCTGGATTTTGAACCTGAAGCTGTTTTATTGCTGAATTTGACTGAAACAGTGCCCAAGAAAAAAAGTCTTGTAGCGATTTGTTTCAGAGGTGAGCTTCTTGTTGAAAACCCTCTACAAATGTCAAACCTGGCATTTACTCAAGGGTGTTATTCTACTGATTCTGATGGACTTTCCCTAAAACGACCCAGCTAGAAGTGAAAGGACAGAGATGAACATCCTCCATTTTTCACTGTGGTGTCCAGTTTCTGCCAAGCTAATCACACGCTTTTGTACAACCTTGTCTTGACACAAAGTGTCTTGGGCTTTTTTTGTTTGTTGGTATGTTTGTTTTAAGATGTAGAAGAAATTAAAACCAACAAGTAATAAACCCAAAAATCTGTCTGTGTTGCTCTTGTTTCCCCCACACTGTTAACCTGAAGCCCTCTGAGGAAGGTGAAGCAAACAGCTGTCCTGCTTGCAATACAAACAGAAGCTCCTTCTACAAAGCCAACTGCAAGCATGGAGAGGCTGAGAAGCTGTTAGAAATACCCTCTCTGCCAGCACTGTGAATGTGAAGTAATAAAATTAAGGGGTCATTTGACAGCAGTTACAGACATCTTGAGTAACTGACCTCTCTATAGTAGTGAATTTTTACTTAGAATACTGTGGGCTATGAACAATCAAAGTAGGATTTTTTTTCCTGTTTTCCCCTCTGTAATTCACATAATTCTCTCTGTGAAAACTGGTGGGAAGCTGCATCCTCAGTGAAGTTTGGATCTGAGTCAAGGTATGATGCAATAAACAGTGTGACAAGAATACAAACTGATCCAAATGTTGACCCTACTGCAATCCCTGGCTGCCTTAACACAAACACACATAAATCTGTTTGCTCTTTACACATCTGATTTGCTCAGAAGCTGCTTTATGTGCCATACAACCACTTTCATATGGATACAAACCTCATAAAGACGTCAGGCTTCACGCGGCAGAGTCTGATATTTAATAAAGTGCTGTTTTTCATACATACCTACAGATGCTGGCATTTCTCCCCACTGCAAAACAGTCTCCTTTGTGAAATGCCCATATATATCAATGTAGATGCCTTCATCTTCATAGGTGAGCAAAAGCTCCATCCCGCTGGTGTTGGGGAGGATGATGATGGCATGTGGGCGAATAGTCCCCTGGATCTAGAATCATATTTTACTAAGATTTATATCAGAAAAATGGACAGCAGTTGTAGTGACTACATCAATCTAACGAGCTTGGCAGAGCAATAAAAGGAACAAGCTCATGGCTCATGGAAAGTGAAAGAAATGCCTGTTTTCAGAAAGGCTGAGTAGTTTGCCAGCTAGCCTCTGAAACAGGCTTTCTCCCCTCCTCTCCGCTTGGAAATGACAGGAGGTTTGCAAACAAATCAACATTCAGAATTTCACTTTACATTGACCAATATTAATTGGTTTCAAGAAGCCATGGAGCGACTGAGACACAATAATATTTACTTACTCGCAAAACCTTGCATTCTAGAAACAGAAGAAAGGTGAAATAAATTTGAATGCACAATTATTTCAGAAGATGGAGGAAGGACAAAAGCTTCCACTTTCCAGGAAATCAGTGCTTTCACTTTCCATGATACTTCCCTATCCCCACTCAGAAGCCAAAATCTGCAAATGTCACAGCATTTACAGCAAGCTGAAAAGCTACCTGGACCTTTCAAAAACAAGCCACTCTCTGTCCTTCCCTTCCCACCTCCTTCACTAAAATACTTCCCCATTTAAATGGTGTTCAGCTTACATGCCACGGGAAAAGCACATTTCACTCACACAAATGATTTCAACAGCTGTTCAATGCCCTAGAATCTCTCCCAGAAGCCAACATGTCCCGAGAAAAAAACCCAAAAGTCTAATTTACAATCATGAAGGTGGGGTTTTACGAAAGCGATTTTGAAAGAATAAAAGGAGAGCCTTAACAAACAGTAACAAAGCATTTCCTTGTTTAAAGCACTACTGAAAACAGGACGTTAAATAGCAAATGAAACCACTATAATTAACACTTTTCTAGGCAGCATACGACTGGAGGTTTACATCATTTTCACAAGCCACCAACGCACATCATTTTTGTTTTTACTTCAAGCACATACAGTTATGCACAGCGTAAGGGCACAACGAACAGGAAAAGAAGCACTGAAGCTGTACTTGCCCAGCTGAACACACCCAGGCCAACCACTTGACTCCGTGGCTCCGCAACAACTATCCGCAACACTAGAACGGGAATCCAGAGCCGCAGGGCTATTCTAATGCGCTGCCTTGGCACTCGCATGGGCGATCGAAGCAGGTAAGAGGTGAAGCAAGAGGTGGGGAACCAGGAAAAGAGGCTACCAGAAAGCAAGAGTATCTAAAGTCAGCCTGTTAAAGTCCTCCGCTCTGTTGCGACCGCAAAGCTCCTTGAGAGAATTATCCAATCTAGCAGATGCTCTTTAAAATAGGAAAATACCAGAAAAGATAGAGCCTCTGGAGCAGCAGATTTATTTCAGGTCTTTGACTCCACAGGGAAAATATATTTTTAGTACATGCTAACTTTTGGTCCAAGAACACACACAAATGGAGTCAGTCTTAAAGGTGCTCCACATACTCAGGACAGTCACCTGGGAAATCTCTCTCATCAGATATATAATTACATTTGCAGCCTGTTGAAAAACTAAAGCTTCTAAGAAGTTTCACTTTTTTCTTTGCCTTTCTTATCTTGGCAAGTTATGCTAAGGATTTCTTTGACAAGTCATTATTCACCTTGCTTTGCAACCAGATGCCAGGGATAGTATGCTTAGATTTATAAACTGATGTGAAATTTTCATAGTTGCATAGTCATCAAAGCTACTAATTGTCAGATTAAATAAACCCAGTAACAAAACACACATTAAGTCCCTTAAAAAAGCCCAGCACAGAAATAAACAGCACAAACTTTTAGCAGGTGATTCAACAGTTTGTTCTGAACAGCTAGAAAATCTACTTCTTAATTAAGAGAAGTTCATAAGCTTAACAGCCATCCTCAAACACTGTGTCCATCAGAAACACAGGTCTGAGAGAATCTAAAAGCTGTCACTTGTCAGGGCAGCCCAAGTGGCTTGTACAGGAGGCATGGGGTTTTCATTTGGTTTGAAAACATGGGGCTGAGAGTGGAGAAAAAGAGATTTAAAAATAAAAGGGTTTCAAGGCACAGGCTGCAACATGCAGATCGGGGATGAGATTTCTTCAGACCTCCAGAGCATAACTCTGGAACACACTGCCTGGGGATATAAGGAGGCCACGGCACCCGGGTGAGCCAACCCTCTGCCCCTTTGGAGCTCTGTTGACTTCAGGGAGGTTTCCAAGTGTGCACTGGAGTTTCCTTGCCAGGAGCCTCCCATCAGACTGGAGCCAAGGGAACCTGCTTGTTTTCTGGACCTAAGCCTCAAGCTTCTCTGGCTTTTGGAACTCACAGCTTTGAAAATAACTATCTAAAACAGTTAAAAAATAAGCAGACAAAAGTTGAAAACAATAGCACAGACTTCATATTGGACAGCCCCATGCCAGTCGTTCACTTCTGCAGGGAAATTACTTGGCTGTTATCTGAGCCTAAGCAGGAAATCAGTGATCTCCATCACCTCAGTGAACAGACGCACAGTGCAGTACGTACACAACAACCTGAAATCAACATCTTCATACCAACTTCTTGAAAAGCTAGTGAGAAAATCCTGAGGAAAATGTAAAAAAAAATCTTTTGAATTTAAGGACCCATTTCACGGGCAACTGAATGGTAAGAAGATCAGCAAATTCATATTTAGTCTGGAAGCTGGGTTTCTGCAAAACCAAATCACATCTTGTGCACAGAGCCTGGGCCTGTAATCACGTGAAACAAATGCAACTTTGCTCCACGGTGAAGAAATTGAGATTATTCATGGGTGCGACGTGTACCTGGCTCTTCCACCTACAGATACTCATTGGTGCAAGGGTAATGTGCTTGGAGTGGATCAAGATTAAAATAGGATTCAATAGTCTTTGTAATCCAGGCCAAATTTCAGATCAATCCAGAGATAATTTAATCAGCTTGTTAGCAAGATTGAAAACCAGTGGTAGATTGTAAAAGTCACCTAAACCCATGTAGATATTATTGTGTCTTTGATTGCTGAATTTCCAGGATAAATCAATTAAAAATATTACTGTCCATGCAATAGGCTTTCTGACATTAAACCATTAAAACTGGTAATTTAAATGTGATAAAAGCTTTTTAACAGAACTTCAGCGTTATAAAACTATCTGAAAAGTGGATTTCTATTCACTGGCATACAGTAATTAGTCTCTTACCCTGTCTTTTGAAACACAGCACAACTCTTAACTGACCGCCATCAATACACAGCCCAAAGAACAGAGGTATTTACGTAATTTTTTGGAGTGTCTTACGTGTGTTGGAAGGTAGAGGTCATACACAGATCCAGAGTCCACATCAATAGCATGAAAGCCTACTAGTGAGCCATAGATGACTTTTAATCTTTGTCCATTTTCAACGGTCAGGTCTACTGACAGTGGTTTGTGATGAAGTGAGGTAAAGGACTGGAAAAAGAGAAATACACTATACAATACAATCAACCTGTTGGTTTACAGATCTACATATAGGATCTTAAGAATTTTCAAAACTCAAAGTTAGCTGTTTTTGTTAAATAGTATATTACATTTAAGGAGCTAAGTATCATCATCCACTGAGTTGCAAGGAGAGCCGGGTAATTCACTTTGAATAAAATCCAGATTCTGGAAATGAACTAGGCAAAAATTAGCCTGGGCACCATTCATGCTCAATTTCCTCCTCTTTTGAGGGAAATCGGCATCAACTTTACGAACTCAAACGCACATTCTGGCACAGCACTGGCACAAGTTATTCACATCTAACAAAACTGTGACTGTGATGGTTTCATGGCTGCTCTCTCCAATGGATGTTCTAATGAGGTACATTTTCTTTAAAAGAATACTCATTTTATCTTTAACTAGAAATAAATGTTATACAAAGCAACAAAAAGCAAAGGCAAAGAGTAGTTGAAAGACAATGAGAGACAGTGATATATCTGAACCAAAGCAAAGCTTCACTTACCTTAAAAGCCATGAATTTGTGATAAGGCTTTGGAGCCCAAGCATAAACCTCCACTGAGTTTTTCAAAGCAATTACAAGGAATTTGATTCTCTCATATTTTACTGGAATACAAGAAGAACAATTCCTTAGGAACCAGACAGACACTTAAATCAAAGACCATCTCATCATATGAAATAATTTCAGTGGGCTACTTCTAGAGGTAGACATTATCCAGCAAGGGAGACGAATGGGTTCTGGACATCAATGTTTAATATCCCCAGTGATAATGCCTTTGCTGAAAACCTGTAGTTCATTTATTCTCAGTAAAGCTAGAGGACTCTTAATGACACATACATTGCTTTTCATATATCTATGAAAAATATAGAAATATATACCTTACTAGTCAGAAAAATGGGTCTTGACCCTGCATCTTAGCCAGCCTACTTTATTAAGTGTGAACACACTCCAGCATTGCTGGTGGTGAATTCCTGCTTTTGGAGGAGTGGTGGTTGCTGGCTGAACTATTCTGTTACACTCTGCAGTATGAGTTTTCCTTTCACTGTTCACGTGCTGGGTTAACTCCCCATGTGCTAGTGTGGGCGAATGACTCCCATGCTTCTCAGATGAGTAAGCATTGAAATTATGAGCAATTTCTCTAAGTTGATTAAGGTCATGCTGGGCCCATCAAGAATAAATGAAGAATCCTGCATTGAAAATTAGGCTATTTCATACATTGTGTTTTCACTCTGCCAGAGACAAGCATTTGCTTTGGAAGTAGAACATGAGGGTATTGCAACCCATCACATTCATCCTTCATTTCATATTCAGTGTCTGCCTGGCAGGGATTTTTAAAAGATGCAGGTGCTAGGCTACTGAAGCAAGGTTTGTTTTCTGTGGGAGCAGGGCTTGATCAGCCCTTGCTGCTTACAAAAGGAGCAGTTCACGCTGGCCAAATATAGCAGAGGCGTAAGAGTGGGTAAGGATGGACACTGGTCAGGAAAATCTCACACAGGCAGAGAAAGAAAAAAAAGCAACAAACTCCACCAAAACGCAGAACAGCACATCCTTCTCCTCTTCTACCTGGACAAATGGCTGTAAAACCAAAGGTCAAGATACAACAAAATTCACCAAGAGAAGAACAACAGCAGCTGTTTTGCCAAAGAAGTAAGAGTGGCTTGTCATATGTAAACACAGAAGCTCCTACCAAATGTTTGACTAATTTTAGGATAACTATTTAAAAAAAACAAACCAAAACCACACCAAACCCAAAGATGAGCAACTGAAGTGGAATATGTGAGTGCTTAGCTATAACCAAACAAAGTAACAATGCACATCTGTTTCAGATTCCTTCTTGGATTTAAACCTTGCCACTTCTAAAGCGACAAGATAGAAAAGCAGAAAAAAAGTCAAGCAATGTACTCATGAGAGGCAGGCACCTCGCTGTCTCCTGTGCTCCTCTCCATAATTTCTCTATTTGGCTTTAAAAGAGTGCCACTTTCATACACCATCTTTCACCAAAGCCAAGCTTGTGCTGAGTATCACAGCTCCTCAGGCAGTTAAATGACAGAAACTAGCACAATACTGATGTTCATCTTCAAGAATGAACTGCCTGAAAGTCAAATAAAAGCAAGATGTTTTTTCAGTTGCTGCAGTACCATTTTCAGTGTGTGAGCTTAAACAAAGGTATATTTAGAGCTTTTATGATCTGGAGACAGGGATGAGATGCAGCACATCTATGGACACCCTAGTAATATGGTATACTAGAACTTCACTAGTTCAGTTTCTTAGCAGTTACTCAGGGTCAGAATGAAAGCTGAATAGTAAGGAGGTGGAAAACCTCTAATTAAAACCTTAAGTAACTACAGAACATCTAAACCACTGACTGAGGAACAGACCAGGGCGGGCACTCCCTTCTTCCAGCCATCACAGGGTCATCTGGTAGCTGCTGCAAGAAGAGATGCTTCCTGCAACAACAGGGAGGAAAGCACCTGCCATGTAAACCAAGGTTTGATATTCAGCCCAATAGCAATCCTGAAACTGAGCTGAAGAAAAATGCTGGTGTCACGAGATGCAAAAAAGATGGTTAAGCAGCTCTTCAAGGAAGAAAGAGAAAGTCCTTACCAACTTTGTAGTGTACGCAGCCTTCCAGGTCACCCACAGACACCCAGCCCTGACGCTTCTCCACCTCCGGGTCATTGCGCAAAATCTTATTTCTCAGCCACGATAAGTAATACACCCTCAACTTATTCTTCTTCCCTAGGATTTGGGGGAAAAAAAAAATGTAATTCTTTATGGCACTGAAGTACAAACTCTCCAACACTTACAAAAAGCCTTGAGTACAGCAGGTCTTTCTGCCTGTTCAAGGTGAGAGAAGAGTCCGGCAGCACAAGGGAAAAGCCCTAAATGATGGCGACACGGAGGAGGGAACTGGACCACTGGCAATCCCATGGCATGGGGCACAGGGGCACTTGTGACTCAAGTTACATGGAAGATTTTCGATCCTGGCTAAAGCTCTTTCCTCAGGCCAAAGAAGAGGTCTCTGCAGATGGGTGTATTATCAGAAATGATCACACTATCTAGCACTGACTCTTTGATGTGAAGGAAGGAACACAGGTATGGCCTGGGATCACAGGTTAGTCTAAAGAGAAGGACAGTGGCACAGTCAACTGGACCTGGCAATAAGGGACAAACAGCTCTTGCCACCATCTCCCACAGTGAGTCTGGATCAGAGACAAGGAGCTGCCACTCCTTGCTGGACCTACATCTCTGACCTCGTTATGTACTAAGCATCCTTTGAGGCCTCTCTCATCCATGGGGAATAAGGGCCTCAGCACCCTATAGGGCAGAGTTCAAGCTGTTCATTACCAAAGGCTGAAGATGCTACTCCATTTAATGTTACTGATGCTTTCATAGTACACATCACTCTCGTGTTACTGCTCATACATCTTGCTGAACACAGAACAAGTTATTTAATGATATTTTTTAATAGGATTGCACTTAGATAGATGCTCACTCATCATGGAAGCAAGCAAACCAACTGACAAACTACAGCTTATTGAGAATCAGTTCATTTTAAGCACACAAAACACTTCATGCTTCCCACAAACCATTCTGCACATGAACCAGGTAATGAAATGCCCAAAAACCTCTCTGAAATCAGAACGTAAATGTTAAAAATTCAGGAGTTTTCCTATTAACAAGAATAACTGTCCTGTGATTTTCTGTAAGAGGTAATTCATCAACCTAGTTTATAACCTAGTTCTTCTTTTTAATTGCTTCCAACGCCAATGCAGGTCAGATACTTTTAGATACTGAACTAACCTGATATAGTAATTAGCACATTGAGTCCTTCCAAAACATCCATTTGCTGGAACCGTCTCCTTGTAATCAGTGAATAAACTCTTCCTTGCCCACTTCTGTCCAGCAGCCACAATCCATTCTCTGTTCCCACCAGTAAATTTACTCCTGTTGATACATGGAAAAAAATCACTGCACAAAGCACTTAATGATTCAGAGGCCACCAAGTGTTCATTGTTTTGAGAACTGATTCTTATTTAGTCTCACATAATGGTACCTGATAATTTCTGTTGCTCTGTGGATGACCTCCCAGAAAAATGAATAGAAAAAACAGGATTTCACCATCACAGATTTTACCCAGGAGAACACTTATATGCCCATGTAACTTGAAGGATGAGTAGTTCTGCTGAGGTCAGTGTTGATTTAAGCAAAAAGGAAAATGCTTCATGAACTTGAACTTCTCAGGTGACCTTGGTAAGTGCCTGTCAGCACTACAAAAGTCTCAGTCCAGCACCACTCCATTAGTAACACAGAAGATCCAACTAAATGATCTAAGGGTCTCTACCAATTAAAAATAAATAAAATAATAAAAAATCCCTCTTTTTCTAAACACTCAAATATAGGAGGACCAAACTTGTAGGAAGAAGGGCTGCTGTTACAGGCAAGCAGAGCGTTTGTTTGAAAATGGTCTGGTTTTTGCAAGAATAATTTAAATGCCAAATTAAAAGAGTGCATCCATCTGAAATCCAACTGCTCCCAAGGAAGTGAGAGCTCCAGTAGATTGCTGACATCAGAGGGTGTCCGAAACTGTGTTTGGCTGGCATGGCAGATTGTTTCCTAATCAGCAGGTTCCAAAGAAACAACACGAGGTATCCTGCTGTAACAAGCAACCTTCTCTACTGGCCATGCTCTGATGAGTACCTGATGCTCTTCAGCCTCGAGGCACATTTAATTACAGACCTTGCCATGCAGCTCTGCTCTTAATTTAAAATCTTGGACTCCTACAAACATACATTACACAAAATCTGTAAAGCTGTACACTGGAAATCCACATTTCCTTTGGATCATATTTCCTCCTCTACTTCATTTATTTTCCATTCCAGACTCAAAAAGTGAGGAGGAATACAAGGTTGGAAGAGTCCCATAGAATATGTCCTGTTCCTCTGAATGATGGTTACAACAACTCAAGAGCTTACCTAGTGTGAGACTGGGACAAGGTTTACAGCTGTTGAAAACTGGTCTGATTCTACACTATGTGAAGCTGACCCTGTGAAAAAGCTGATCCAGCAAGGTTCTGAGCAAGCACTGAGAGCAGGAACTAAGGAAGCCAAGCTTTTGGAAAGACTGATGCCTGACCTGCTTCAGATTCTTGGAATACCTAACACACACGGCAGCAAAAGGACTCAAGTTTGGATTATTTCCACTGGGTCAGGGTTTATTGTGATCAGCAGTGCTCACATGCAGCTAAGACAAGTGTGATGAGCCACATAAACTGCTAAAATACCTGCAACTTTTGGCTCTTCCAGTGAGTGCAGTTTCAATTTGGTGCTTGATCAAAACATTTTCTCATTCTGATGCACTAAACCCTGTGCAACTGGAAGTCATTCGTTTGCCATCCTCTACCAGGAAGACAGCATCACCCAAGAGATGCAGGTATCTACTCAGTGATCCACTCCAAGATTTTCTGGCAGGAGAGGTTCAATAACTGTGAAATCTGCCTGGCATATAGTGCCAGCCTCTCCTGCTGCTGCCTCCCCTCCATACACGTGCCCAAGTACTTCTGAGCTTACCCCACAAAGCAGCACAGAGGACCTCTGAGTTGAATTTCTTCTTGTATTTCCGAATTTCTGGGCTGTCGCTCTGTGGGCGGATGTTGGTTGGGTTGACATTGACAACAGAGCCCTTCCTTGCATTTTCTCTCCTGACAGGCTCGGGTTTTGCACTAGATGCTAGAATGAAAGACAGAGGCAATCATGAAAAATGTGAGTGTTTGGCTACATCTCACAAATTCTCTGGCATTATTTAGCCAGAGAAAAAGATCTAGAAAATTCCTCAGGGATTCCTGAGCAAGCACTGTGGTGACACAGCAGCAGAGTAGCGCAAGCCACATCTGGAAGGAGGGCAGAAGCAATACAATGAAAATTCATAGTGCTGTGGAGTTTCAGTTTCTAGAGGTGTTACTGACAGTTTCTATTTCCAAGCAAGGGGCCCTCCTCACTCCCCACAAAAGAAACAGAAACTAGGAGTGACATTTTAAGAGAAGGGTAATCATACTCACGAGAGCTACAGGAAGGTCCTACTGGACTGGTGGGAGGAGTGATTGGTAGAAGTCTAGGATCTATGAATGCAGTAAAGGATGTTGTAGATGATGTGCTGCTCTTTGAGGGTGTGCTTTCAGTGCACGGGGTCTACAACGAAAGACAAGAGCTGCTTCAGGAAGACAGCACTAAGGAAGCAAAGAGGACACAGCAGCATGGTGCCTCTGAGGTTCAGAAGAAATGGCATGTGGCATGCATAGACATGATGAACAGTCTTAAAGCAGTAGGTAGATGGTACAAACGCAGTGACAGGAGGCCTGAGCAGGGAGTTGTGTTGGGATGCTCAGCCAGGCACTGCACTGAATCAGCCAATGCCCAGAAGAAGACCTCGTCAATCACTCCCTGCAGTCCTGTCTGCAACAGGGCATTGCTCAAACCTCTCTGCAGCAAGGACACTCTTGCCTTGAGTAAGGCAGCTTAGGACATGACCCCTGACAGAGCTGCTGTCTGCCTCCAGTGACACACGTCCCCCCGGGAGCCCCCCGTGCTCACAGGGGTGTTGGAGCCCCTTTGGGGCTGCTGAGAAATGCTGCCCTGGCCCCTGTGCACTCCCCACCTGACACCTGAATGGAAGAAAAACAGGGACAATGAGCAGAGGCTGACATGACAGGTAAAGGAGCCAAGGCTCCAAGCTCTTCTAGCTTGTGTAAAAGGGTAGAAAAAATGGAAGGAAAGTAAAGAAAGCAGAGAGAGAGAGAGAGAGAGAGAGAGAGAGATGGGGCAAACAAGTGGAACAATAAAATCTGTTAGGGAATTCAAGATTTCTTATCTTGCCCCCTAGATAAAATTCTTCAGGAAAAGAGGGATGTGCTGAAAAATTTTATCAAAAACAGAGACAGGACAGATGAAGTTAAAAGGTTCTCAATCTCAGGCTTCTAAAGACTGGAGGAAAATGATGAAACAATTAATTAATTCTGTAATTTATCTCTTACCTTATTCAGAGGCTTGTTCTGAGGTTCCTGGCTAGTCAGTGGCACTTTTGGTGGGTTCACAGAGTCTGAAATTTGGCTTTGTTGCAGGAGATCTGGCAGAAGATAGTTCTGGTTGTTTATGCTCCAGAGGCCTTCTTGCGTGCTAGAAATCTGTTTCCCTAAAATCTGATCCTGCACATGAGAACATAAAGTTAAACCCCACATTTAGCATCCTTCCAAGGCACTATACTGCTCCTGTCAATTTGGACCATAAGCAATGAGCATATGGGGAGGGGTGCTCTGTGTGAGGTATCACGTAAAGACAAACCCTATGGAAAGACTGAAATAAAAAATGAAATACAAAAGTGTGTGACAAACACCTGAGACATCAACACTGGCTTCCACTCCTGAAGGGCTCCACAAATGCTCCTCATCTACATGGCTTCAACCACAGGTAAAGAAGCAACTTTATCCTCAGAGACACTTGAGACAGAATCAAACGACTTGTCCTAATGTTACAGATCTGACCTCTACCTACCAGAGCTGGAAGTAAGCTCTTCTTGGTTCTGCACCTGCATTTAGTTCAAAGCCTCTTAACCATTCATTTCATTGCTACTTGACATTTACTGAATTAGGAGACCTTATTCTAGAATGACACAGGATCCAGCATCAGCATTTCCAGCACAGTGCTGTTTGGTACTGCAGGTCTCCTTACAGGATCCCATCAGCTCAAGGAGATACTTGTAAACTACATAAGGTACGAGGCACCACACCAGCTCTCTCCCTGACCACGAAATATGGTGTCAGAGGTTGATTTCTGGAAGTACAGGGCTAGAAGCTTTAAGAGGAAGAAAGATGGATGTGTAAAGCAAGCAGTGTTCCAGATGGAGAGGGCCATGTAGAGAGATCTGCCCCTGGCCATGATCAGTCTGGATACTTGAACACCAGTGGCACTGGAATGCAGAGAGTGACAGGAGCCAAGCACAACACTAGAGAACTCCTCTGAATTACACTGAAGGAAAAAGCACCACCAAACTCCAGCAGCTTGTGCCTGGTGGAATTCAAGGCAAGTACATTCTACTAACTTTGAGAAACACCCTGCTGAAATCAGATCAGCTTTTCTGAATGCTGGCCAAAAGATGAAGACAAAAAACAAACTAGGTAATTCTAAATAAAACACATTTGCCTTTTAAAAGCCAAGTAATTAACTAGCAATCAGAAAGATGCTCTAAGTGTTTTACATTTCAATTTAGACATAAAAACCCCAAAACAACCCTAAGCATTGATGTCCATATTTGAGACCAGGGAATGAAGCCAGTATGGGACTGTTCTGTTCAGTTTTGAGTCAGACTCGGCTGAACTGAACCAAACCCGCATTTGAATCATTTGGGCAGTCTCGTACATCCTAACCACTTCAAACCAGTTCATGCAGATGGGCCAGGGAAGGGATGTTGGAACAAGTCATGGAGACTCATGATGGCTTGTGGCTGGTGGAAAAGAGGTGGCAGGAACAGACAGGAGTCTCCAGGAGAAGGAGAGAGAAGTCTGGAAGGCATTAGAGAGATTTATGAGGAAAGGTTTTTGTCTGTGCACCCACCTGCATTGCCCTCCCCAAAGCCACCAAAAATGTGACCTCCTCTCTTTTCCATGCTCCCTCATCCTCAGTCTGGGCCTCCGAACCCATCCTTCTCTTTTCCCTCCAGCAGCCTATTTCCAATGCCCAGATACCAGGGGAAAGGGAAAGCACCAGGCTGGTTTTGCCCCAGAAAAAAATGTTGGGTTTGCCCTGTTTGCAATTCTTTCTCCAAAGCAGGGTCCTTCTCCTCAAGGATGGTGGGATGAAGGCAAAGTGGAACCTTTTCCCCAGTCAGGAAGGATGCCAATCTGGTCTGAAGATTAGAAATCACACCAGAGGTAAAGAAAACTCTTCTTTCTTCCCAGCCTTGCCACAGCTTAGACAAGCAGCTCTGGGGAAAACACCAGTTTCACAGCAATTTATTTTCCCTATCTGTGACATGAAAGGAAACTCAGTAATCTGTGAGAAGTGCTCTGATGCAAGCCTTATTACTGTTTTGTTTTGTTTTGTTTTATTTGTTTTCAACCACAAAGAACATTGTTCTGCTTTGTCTGTCCTCACCTTTTCTGCACTAATATTTATCACAGGGGAAAATCCACATGACTCTCTACTAGGAACTACAGCTGGGAAGGAACCACAACATGACATATGAGAAGGCAATGTATTTTTCCTAAGCCACTAGGGAGAGATTAAGTGGTTTTCCCCTCTTCTGGTAATATATTAAGCAGTAAGAGGTAGTTCTCTTTAAATTGGAATTAAAAGGTCAAGAATTGTAAAAACAGCAACACTGCACACCAACAATAATCAACACTATTGCTTTCTGCAACCTGCCCAGTGCATTCAAGAAATACGTTGACAGCAGAAACTACTCCCAGTTCAACAACAAGGACAAATAAATAAGTGCCATTTCATACCTAAATGTAAAAATTTTAATAGGAAGCACAAAACCTGCAACTACACCTTTTTTTCCCAGGCTTATAGCTATCATTTGCAACAACAGAGCAGGACTTCAGAGTGGAAACACTGCCGAGGAGAAATGGATACAGCCTTTATCACACCCATTAACGATCTGGCTCCCCCCCACTGCACCCACCTCCTTACAAATGGCCAAATTACCTTCTGTTCTGCAACACTGCTTTGGGGTTTCAGTTCAATCCCATCTGGTACTCTCGTCCTTGAGAAATCTGCCACTCTGCTGCTTAGCAGTTGCCTGGAAACAAACTCCAATTAATGAACAGAACCACTTTGGCGGGGGGGGGAAACAAGAGACCTCAAAAAACAAAAAGCAAGAAACCCCACATACACATTCAAAAGTGACCATGATTAACATTCAGTAGTTATGCTTCAAGGTTCTTGTACAAAAGCAAGCTGATTAGTCTGTGGATGTGCCCGAATGGACCCCAGCCTGAGGATCACTGCCATGCAGCAGGAAGCTCTGCCCACCTCGGAGAGCATCCCTTCATCTCCCCACCTTTCACCCACCATTCTTCAGACACTGCATAGCTCAGGCAAGTGAGAGCTGGTCCCTCAAGCTGTCATTTGAGAGGTGCCTACTTCAAAACTTCTCCTGTCTCCCTGTGCACACTACCCTAGGGAGTGCAATTATGAGGCACCCTGCTCTCCAGAGAAAGAACATCAGCTGCACTTGGAAGGGGGACGATGCTGCTCCACTGTATGCTGGTACCAGGGACCCCTCTGCCAGTGCCTACTGGGACAGGCTACACTGGAATTTCACACTGTCAACTAGTCCCTGAAACATGGACATCCTCACCTTACATACAAAGAAAAGGTTGCTCAGTGCACATAGAGATAGAAAGAAGATCATAAGAGCTGCTGGACTGGTGAGGGCCAAAAGCCCACCTAGCCCAGTATCCTCTGTCTTCAACAGTGGCCAAAAGCACACACTTAAGGAAAGAGTAAGAACAAGGCAAGCATCTCTTGTGGTATACCCCAGCACATTATTTCTCCCTACACAATCAGCCATATCTTTGCATTTTAAATTTTTTCACCCAAGTGGAACTGTCTCAAACTTCTGTCACCGAGGGTCTTGCTGTCTTGTTGTTGTTGTTTTTTGTTTGTTTTGCTCTCCTCCACAGGGAGGGTAAATACTTGCATATGAAACTTTGCAGAAAAGCAAGATAGGGAGCAGGATCAATTATGAGTTCAAGGACCTGTTCTTATCAGGAAAGCAAGCAGCAGCTGATCTTAAGTGATGTCAACATCCCACTTCCTAGCAGGGGAAAGTACTTCCTAGCCAAACACATACCTGCATCCACCTTGCCCAGGTTTTGGTAGGCAACAGCATATAAAGAGCAGAGAGAGGAAACAACTATACAAAAGGAGTGCCAGGAAACTCACTGTTTAGGGGGATTGTGAATGCTGCAGGCATCAGAAGAGGAAGCACTCTTGATGGAGAAAGATAGCATCAATGGAATAGATAAGCTATACAAGCAGGTAGGATGCTGGATCACATACACAGACGTCCTGCCTTTAAAACAAGAACCTCGTGTGTGTGAGGAAGAATCCTGGTTCACCTCACTGAGAAGAAAAACAAGACTAGAAGTTGCTTTACTGGTGAAAGTCAGCTGCCCTCAGTCCTGGCTTCCCTAGAAATGAGCCTTCTCAGGGTGGCTAACAGGATTTGTCCAAGAGAACATGAAGCTCTTTCTCTTGCATTTGTGTATGTCCCAAGTCTAGTCCTTCTGGGCACCTCCATGAAAGTTGGAGCGTGGACATCAAAAGCTGTTCCACAGTCCAGGCAAGAAGAGAAAAGACAGATTGTTCTCCATAGCCAACTAAAACTTGGACCAAGTTTTCTCAGCCAAACACCAAACACAAACACTGCTACAGGCTGCAAGGGGCTTCATATCCCATGTTCACATGCTTTACATAGCAAGAAAAGCCAAACCCTTCACTATAGCCAGAATATGCAAAGTTTCAATGCTCGATGCTGCTTTCACTTTGATCACTATCCTTTTTGCTATTTACTTGGTAGAAATCAGGATGTATTTCCAAAAGTATCTGTCTTTTGATATCAGTGACATTCAGCTGAGGTGAAGGGACTTTGTTAATAGACAAGATTACAACTTTATCTTACAGGAGTTCTTGTGGTGGCTGTGAGCCCAGGAAGGCAAACCTGACAGAGATCATCCTGCTCATTCCATTTCTCTAGAGGACTGGTGGATCTCACGCACAGAGGAGATGCAAATAACACATGCAGATTTCCAAAGGCCGTGAAACCACTCCTTCAAATCATTACAGCATGCAAGGATCACAGCAATCTAACACTTACATAGCAAAAGTCATTGCTACAGGGCAAATCCATATTTTTATGTAGAGTCTTTCTGAGGTCTAAGATGAATTCTATGACCTAGAGCGAATAAAACTTTTTACAGAGCAGAATAAGGTGGTCTGCAAGAGGAGCAGTAAGAAAAGAAAGGCATTACAGTAAAAAGACACTTTTTCAGTGGCACTGAACAAGCTACAAGACTTTTTAACATTATCCCTCCTCATCCTTCGGCTTTGAAAATGAACTTCAGAAATGCAAATCAGGACCATATGCAGCCACAAAAACTCTACCTTCTTCCGAGCAGCACAGGGGGAAGGACTGGTACCAGGCCAATGCCACAGCCTGCCAACAGTGCCACAAACCTGAGCCTCTCCTCCTGAAGACTGACAAAACTGCATGTGTTAATTATGTCAGAAGAGCAAGGGCCCAGCCCAGAGAGTTGTGTGGCCCTGTAATGCACTCAGAGTAAATCCTAGAACTTGAAGGGAACTGAAGTTTCTTTGCAAGAAAACGAGAAGTTTTATGCATCAATACTAAAAGACAATTCTGTTTGCTGTTCCAAACAGCAGTGCTGGCAAACTGATCTCCCAGCTCCCTTTTACTTGGACTAGCAAGCTATTCACACTCTCATTTCTCAGCAGAATACACATTTTGCATGACAGGTAAAGCATCACAAGATGCCAGTCACAAAATCAACAAGAAGAACTGGAAAGCTAGAGAGAAACAGGCCAGGTGAGATCAGCTTGGTATGAGCCACATCATCATCCGGCAACCCCAGCAATCGTGCAAAATGACATTAAAAATACAGGAAATTTTGGGGAAAAATAAATCCTGCTTACACTACCTCCTCTTTATAAACAGCCCTGGTGAAGGAATCAGCTTTTCAGTGGTAATTATTTCTCCTGGAGTGAATGGACTGAATACCAAGGACATGTTCACCTTGCTTTTTTCACAGTAATCTGTTTCTTTAACAGTTTTCTTTCACTCTCCTTTTTCTTTCTGAAAAATTCCACTTAAACATAGATTGATGTGAAGTAATCCCTAAAAAACCACTACCTGTTGACATTCAGTTAAAACAAGACGTTTCCTCGTTGTTCCATGGCAGCAAGTCATCAAAGCTTATTTCACTGCATACATCTGACAGAGCAAACATTCACCCCTGGGAGTTCATTATAGTGTGATTAAACTGCTTAATTACAACTGCCATAAATGACTGATAGTATCTTCAGAGAGGAGGTAGAACTTCGGTATGCCAACTTTTTCCAGATATTTATAAGTGTGTGACACAAAAGGAACAAAATAACAATAGTAATAAAAAAAAATAAGCCAACCTTGTGTGGTTCATGTCATCTTCATCACTGCTGCTGACTTCATCACTTGATGAGGAATAGTCTGCTGCTTTTAGGAGAGCATTGCCACCATCCTTCCCCTTGGCAAAGGAGCCTGGACTCTGAAAAAAGAAAACTCAGTTGATTTTCTTTTCTCATAGAAGAACTCATCTCTAAACAGTATGTGCAGTATTTTACTGTCCCAGCATACATAGCTATTGTCAGTTCCACACCAAAAAAGCTTTATTAGGAAGTTGATGCTTCTGTTAGTCCACCACAAGTGGGTATCTCACAGAGGAAAGTGACCTAAACCAAAATGTCTGAAGAAAGTTGAAAGGTGACTAACTTTAGTCAATATGTAATGTTATATCTTGAACATTTAGGATTCAATCTTCACACTTCACAGGAATGCAGAAGCACCTGGTTTTTGCACAGGAAAAGGAGTGCTCTGCACCAGGACTGAAGGAGTACACCAGCTTCAGTTCTGTTCCAGCCCTGGACTACCTTGAGGCCTGCGGGGCCATGGCTGAGCACAGGCTGTGCCTGCACAGACTGGGTACAAAGCACCTTTGGGCTGGAAAGACAACACCAGCACAGCCATGGCTCACCCACACAGGACACCCAGACACCCCAGTCCCATGGGAACTCACATACAGGTCTCTCACTCTGTTGGCAATAGCCTAAACCCAGAGTCTTCTTCAAATCTCCAGTTCCTGCCAAGCCAGGGGGCTGGAGACTCCAGTAAGGTGCAGCTGTCCTCTTCCCCCTCCCCTCTGCATCCCCAGGCCACCCAGGCCTGCCTATGAAGTATTAAAAAGCCATCTTGATAGGACACTCTTCAGTGTGTCACAGCCAGGTAGGACACGTTCCAGGCAATTATACATTGGATATTTAAATTGACTTCTGGGTTGCATGATCAATGACTTCTTGAAATATTAAAAACATTCCCTTCCTTTCTAAAGGTTTATGATCAGACAGGTTCAGGAAAACTGAACTCTGTGCCAAAGAACTGAGCTGGGTGTAGGACAGAGCTGGACCAAAGGCTGATGAGACACATTAATGCAGCAGTAAGCTCAAGCCAGCCCACGTGGCCTCTTAGGTGGACTCATCAGCTACTGAAGTCCAGCACCAACAGAGGAGCTGTCTGCATGGACATACCCTCAGTGAAAACTAGGAACAAATCAAAAACATCAGTGGATTGAAAAGAACCTACTGCAATCTGGCCTGGATGAGAAACTTTCTCCGATTTCTTATGCAGCTGCAAGTGGTTCTGGGACAAAGGGTTCTCTGCCCTGGCCGGTCCTGGATTCCCTGTGGAAAAAAAAATAGCTTCTTTTTCCACTGCATGTTCAGCAGAGCAAGAGAGGGGACCAGCAAGGTATGCACACACAGTTACCACCCAAAGCAAACACCAGCCTCTTCTTTTCTCTTTGCTGCAGAGGGAAACCTGTTTGCTTGTTTCCCAGTAGTTCTGGATGCCACAAGACTATGTACATAAATTGCTGCTGGTGCAGTTTAATGCTGCAAGAGTCAAAGAAGCAGACCAAAACCTTGGCAACACACTCCCACTGTGCACCAACAATGGTTCCATGGACTGGGAGGCAGCTTGCAAGGAGAAAGAGTGAGGGCATGCTAATCCCTTCCTCTGGGGATCAACATGGGCATAGCTCATCATACCAGCAACTGCTGGTCCTATTCCAGCACTGAAGGTGCCACCCACGCACCTATATTCCTGTGAGCGCAGGCTGGGGATCAGGGAGAGGGTACAGGAGCCTGGCCCCTGATGCATGTTTTCATGAGCAAACAGACGCGCTGCCAAGATTTGGCCTTTGCACAAAATCAGTCTAAAGGGTCTGGTTCTCTAAACCCAAACGGGCTTGAGAGCCAATAGCTGCAAACTCCACTCACGAGCATGAGGTCAAGCTAAAAGTAGAGGAAGATTCCCCACTTCCCACAGCAGCAGTGGGAGAACCATTTTCCAGTCCCTGCTTCCCTTGGGGCACACCGAGGGTCACGTCTCAGCTCCCACTTCCACTCTGTGCTGTGGGGAAGTAGGTGGAAACAGCCCTTAGCCCCCTCTGTGTCAGGTGGCACCTCCTGAAGCAGGACACACCGGCCAGCTCAATATCTACCTCATTCTGCAGTTTCTCCCATGACTCCCCCACTGCTATCAACAGGCCTCTCTGCAAATCAAAGGGGAAGAACTGGAGCTCACACAGATTAGGATGTGTATTTGGTCATTTGCAAAGTTTTATCACAATGGCTTCATGTATTCATGCATTTTGCAAAGCTTTTAGAATTGGTCAATAAGTACCTAAGCAACTCAGCAGAAGTATCAGCTTTAAAGTATTTATAGCCCTTTCCTGCCCAATTCATTATCCCTGTGGGTTTGGGAAAGCAGCAAACCTCTTTCTGGAACACCATATGCCAGAACTAGCTGTAATTTAATGACACTTAAGAACCCAAGGAGACAATTTAAACCACAAGGGAGGTTTTCTATTCTTTCCATTGCTGGGGAGGTTTTCATTTCCCCATGCCAAAATAGCACAGAAGTTACACATCATGCAGACATTGCAAAGTTGAGCTGGGCTGTTGCACATTGCTCATCTCTGTGTTGTTATTCAAACATAAAATGACATAGGAGCAAAAAGAAACAAAACCCAAGCAGTTTAAAGTGTGCTTCGGATTTCTACTGAAGCGAAGCTTCCTATTCTGTGCAGTTAGTGAAAGCAAAACTGGCTTGATTGTGTAAGTCTAATAAGGAAGCAATTTGTTCTTTCATTTATCAGCGGCCTGCAAATTAACAATATAAGCCTCAGTTTAAAAATAAATGACCTCAGCAGCATCCTGGTGTGGTTTCAGAGCATTTTTACCATCCACCCTGCTTTGGACTGGGTGTGATTCCCCATGTCCCCCATCTTTAGTAGCCAACCTGAATTCAAAGTGTCATAACACACCGCTGCCTTGCAAGGAACTACACAAGAAATTGCTCAACATTTGACCCACAGAAAACACTCTTACAAATAACAGCAGAGGAACAAAGCTGTCCACTTCTGCTTTGCATCCCCATCTGCCAGAATCTCTGGTCACGTTTCAGGAACCAGTCTGTACTGCAAAAATTCTGCACACCCATGAGCGAGCCCACTGCATCTCTACTCCACCACCCCTGACACCAAGGCAGCTTACAAAGTTGCACTTGGCTTAAATTGGATGAAGCCACCTCCAACTTTTAACTTCTTTTGACTTTTCTTTTTCAGTTCCACTATCTTTCTGCAAATAAAAGAATATTGGAAGAGTGTTTCATAAGGTGCTGTACAGTCTTATGCCTGTGCCAGTACATTAGAGTGCAGAAATATTAGTGCACAGCAACTGCTCATCTCTATCATCCTATCAGTGGGCAATGAAAAAAAAGCAGCATATGGTAATGCAGAAAATGCCAACGGCTGAATGTTAGTATTGAATTACATCTGTGTGTCTGGAATGTTGGCTCTGCTGAGTTTCAGTGGTGTCAGTAAGTGCACCAGAAGTTATTTTTTTTTCAGTTCTTAATTGAGGCAATTCAAATTTTCTATATGGAAGCATCTTCACAGCCCCTTTTTGACTCAAAAGATGTTCATACTTTAAGAACACGGAACTATAAAATCCAGAGGGCTTTCAAAAGCCTATCACCAGAATACACGTTTTTAAAAAAAAAAATCCCATTTGCAATGCAGCACTTGACATGCTGCAGAAAGCCCATTTCACGTTACAGGAATTTTGTACATTTTGACTGATGAATCTTTGACTTAGAAATCACCTGAGGTTGACCGGCTGCTCTGATGAGATCCCATCTCCCACTGCTTGTTGCCAGGAGAGCTGCTGCTGCTGCTTAACTTCAGAGCATGTCCCCCCGGGGATGACTGATTAGTGTTACTAAAGGGAAAGACAAAAAGCACATCAGATGATCCTGCATGCAGGAGCACAGACCACAAGGGACCTTCCAGGCCACTGAATCGAGTTCCCTGCTGTTACTGTGTGATATAATACTTGTGATAAAGAAAAAAAATTTTACTCATTGCTGCTCCAAGCAGGGCCATCCAGTAGTGACAGAAGAAGATGGAGGGGACAGTTTCCTCTGGGCAGTCACGTTGGGAGATTACAGAGATTCCCCAAGTCATCACAAAATATTCTACTACAGGTACTTCTCCCTTGGCCTCTTCAGATCTGTGTCACTCCTGATTCCAAAATCTTATGGCTTTTACTAAATAATGAAACCTGCTCCAGCACCCACCTGGAAGATACATCATCACCCACTTATCGATGGAAAAGGGAACACACTGGACAGTAAAACAAGCTGCCGAGGCTGTGAAGTAAAACAGGGGCTCACCTAGAAACCCAGGCACAGAAGCCTCTCACTTGCAACACTGTGGTTTATTTACATGTTCCTTTTCTGCTTTGCCTCCTCTGACTTCTAAGTAGAGAGAATTTAGGGCTTGAGTTCACTTGAAAGTGATTTCAGGTGATGTTTCTGACTCTGGCTCACCAGAAGTCCTGCACGTTATTTTGTTACGTCAGCTACATTTACATCCCTTTCAAATCTCTCCAGTCCCAGTTTCTCTCAGCATTATGTTCCCTGACAGACATCCAGTGGGGGCTGCCCTTTACTGCTGAGCTCTCAGCATCCTTGGTCTTTTCCTCTGGGATATGAAAAAAGTACACTAGCCTTAAGGGCAGACTGCCAAAATAATCCAGATACTTCTATAGAGAGCCTGCTCAAGCTACTACCAAGCAAAACAAAGCTACAGGCACAAGCTTCACAAAACTGTAAGTGGCTATACAGAGAGTGGGGGCCAGACCCCCACTCACTACAGTATCCAGGCACATAATTCCCCTCTGAAACCAACAGCAGCCCTGACCAGCACCACTCCCACCAGCCATCATCAGTGTCAACATGTTAGGACCTCAAGTAACCTGCACCTTCAGCATCACTTACACTGCTGTGAAGGGCAAGTAAAGCATCACCAAATCACAAGAAATTAAAAGACCCCACAGCAAGCTGCCCATTGACTGGGAAAGAGATGTGTGACTTGTATGAAAGCCACCTGAGCATGCCAAACAGGCTGAACCAAATCAAACAGCTCATTGTAGGAATTATTACAGATGGAACAGCCCTTATATATTAAAAACACTGCTTTCCAGCAGAAGACAGAACTACCTTGCATGAAAAGGAGCAGATCTACAAGAAGCTTGTTTCTCTTTCAGTGAATTATGCCAACCATTAAATGGAAGCCAGCTTAGACACTTCCTTGAAATGTGAGATCAGGAATTTTGGTTAGTTATTTTTTGTGGACAAACTGATACAAAAGATAAAATAATTGTAACTGCTACTAAAGGAGGTATGCACCCATGTCAGTTTTGGTGTTACTGAGGTTCTGGCTTTGTTTTGAATAAATTTGCTTCAGTTTTCCTACTGACAATAAATCAGCATTTGTATAAGCATGTAACACTTCAGAGCTTACCTTGAAAGGCATCTCTGATGGCCAGGCTGATCTCTGCTGTAAAATTTAGACGTTGTCCTTTCTGGAACCTTAAGGATTTAATAAAATATTTTAAGGTCACTACAGATATTTTAGACTCAGTTAGCAAAGCTAATGCTTACTCTGTGTCAGTGCAAAAACAAGTCTAACCAACATAGATGAATAATGCTTCAGTGGGACCTGCAGAGAGGTCTTCCATGATATCAACCCTGGAAGCTGCACGTCAGCAGCAGATGCTTCCAGTTTGCTCCAGGCCTGCACCATCTATCAGGGTGCAGACTGCACGTGGTTTGTACCTCTCCTTAGAGTCAGCATTATTTTTGGTTGGTATTTAAAGTAGACAGGGAAACACATCTGCAGTCACATAAGGCAGCTTTCCCTAGGTGGTAGATTACCTTATGTTGCCACCAAAGGTCTTGAGGATCAGAGACATGTCCCCCACCCTCCAGCAGCAAAGTAATACAGTGAACAAATGCACATACACACCCCTGCACCAATATTCTTCTACTTGCTCCTAGAAATTCTGTTAAAAAGAGAAACACCCCATCACCTGAATTACACAAACTAATGAGCTTTTCTGCAACATGCCACATTCTTCACAGAAAAGGCAGCTACAAATAACTTGGTTTAATGGAAAAAGTGTATCTGCATTCACAGATCCCGCAGATCTCAGAACATCGACCTGCTTATAAATCTTGTATTTTCCTTCTAGATTCCTGAGACCCAGTTAATGTGCAAGCAATCACATTTTCATTGAGCTTCCTAAAGTCCAGAGGATGGATAGCACACAACACAGAGGAATGAGTGGAGTGCTGTCAACCATGGATCATGCCAAACGCCCAGAGTTTCACATACCTTTGGGGGTTGTTCTTCGTTTTGACTCACGTTCCAGAATACGTCATCCTGCACAGGGCTGAGTGGTGTTGTCAGCATATCTGACAGAGAACTGCTGTGGTACACATCCTTACTAGCCCGGAAATTTTCACACTTGAAACAAACAAAATGCATGCTTAGTTGGACTTCCCTGCCTGTGTAGCAGGTCCCAGTCTCAACAGACAGCAATGGTTCTCTTGGTGAGATCAAATTTTTAGTAAACTTAGAAAGAGTATCATGTTTGAGCCCTACTCACCTTGTTCACTGTGAAGTATGTTATTCATTTCCAGCATGTTAGCATGTTAGGCACAAATATTTCAAGGTGAAAGGTACAATAAAAAGAAACAGTAAAAAATATCTATGCTGTACATATATCTCCCCTTCTTGAATCCATGGAGAAGCTAATAAGTCATTGGCAATGCACAGCCAACTAGTTAACTGGATGATTGAAAAACTGCTGTTGACTATGTTTCACTCCAAATTGCCCAATGCTTCTGTTTCAGAATTTAGATTGCTGACCTCCAAACTAGTCTTTGCATGCCCACCATCAACCTAGTCAATGGAGACAAACTGCCAGCTGGAAGTGCTTTCAATTCTCCAGTGGTTATGAGGGTGCCCTGGCCCTCCTCAACAAAAAGTTTTTCAATTACTTGAAAAAAATAGAACTTGAGAATGCAGTAAGAAAGAAATATGAAACTATGCTCAGACTACGCCTCATGGGTAGTCACAAAGGCTTAGGTTGGACATGAGGGACAATTTCTTTCCTGCAAGGGTTGTCAAGGCCTGTCCTAAGCTGCCCAGGGCAGTGGTGGAGTCCCCATCCCTGGAGGGCTGTCCAAGCCAGGGAGATGTGGTGCTGAGGGACATGGGTTAGTGGTGCCCTGGCAGTGCTGGGTGAACAGCTGGACTTGTTGATCTTAGAGGACTCTTCCAACCAAAATGATTCTATGATTCTATGTCCAGGTGCTCCCACTGCAACCACCTGTGTTTAAAAGATATCTTTAAAGGTATCAAATTAGGGAATTGGAATAGCAAATGTCCTAATCACAGTGGGGGATGAGAGGAGGGGAAGAAATCAAATCACTTCCTTATAAAGTCTTTGTTCCAAGGGAACAATGCATAAGCAGAGTAAAACTCAAGCTAAAATACTCAAAATCTGCCCCTCTGATTCTTTCTATATTTAAAAGAACTAAAAATAAAGAGAGAAAAGAAGAAAAGGTTCCTTTAAATTCTGCATGCTAATGATCTATTACACCAGCATCTTCCAAAGGGGAAGAAAGGCAGAGGGCTCAAAATGTCAACTGAATGCCCTGATTCTCCCTGAAATGAGAACTCCTCTTGGATGCAAGACCAAGACAGACCACACAGAAATGCTGTGTGAGCTGGGCCTATCTTGAGGGATTGCTAGGACAGAACCAATTTGATGTTACAGAAATAGAAAAAAAATATTAAGAGAAATGCCTGAAGCTACACCACTTTGTGCTTTTTCTTGCCAGACCTCCCATGCAAAGCAGGACCAGGGCACTCTGGAGACACCTGCAGCTGGCAGGATCATCACAGGCTACTGTTCTTCCCATCATTGGGATGGAGCCTGTGCCCCAGCACACTAACACACCTCTGCTGCAAGGCACCTCCTTCTCAAATGCACAGCAAGACCACCGTCCCCACCACTTACAAACCTAAGAAAGAAGTTGGCAACTGTTGTCTTGAATCCAAGCTCAAACTCTGGTGTCCCACCTGAGCTACTGCAACTCAGATCAGAGGCAGCTGCAGCTCATTTTCCCCAAAGGACAAATCAGACAAATATTTTATTGATTTATCAGCCCAAGTGTAAAAAATTTTCCATTTCTTCAGTCTTGAAAAGTAAAATACAGTAACTGAGAACTGCACACAGCTTTTCAGTAATATGATTATGAACTATAAGTCTACAAGACTATTTCATAGGAGCAGTGTTAAAAATCACTGAAATATTGACAGGCAGCAATTCTAAAACTAGTTAAAGATGCCAAAAATCCATAAAAAATGTCCCACCACAACCTCCCAGACCAGCAGGGCAAAGTAAACTGTTGAAATACAGCCCCGAGAAGTTTATCTGGTTAAATATTCAGGTGCTTTTTCTGTCTTTTGGGGACACTATGTTCTGTTGACTCCCTTTACAGAAAACAGCTTTTTCAGCAGTTGTAACACCTCATAATCCATGTTCTTTCATTTTGTCAAAATTACTTTTCTGTCTAACATGATTGTCACTAATAATAGTTTTTAGTTAACCAGAATTATTTCAAAAGCAAAGTGTTCCCCTGAAACGATTCATTGTGACTATAGGAGTAGGTTTTATAGCAAGTGTATTATTATCAGAACACAGGAGGAATATTTTCCCTTGCCACTCTTTCAACAAGCTACTGACATTTCTTCCTAAATTCCAGCTTTTGACTCCTGCAGACTACCAGAAAACTGTTTGTGCTTAAAAGGATGGATGAACTTTGCTGAATCATGATATAAGTGATGGGGTGAATCCACACTCTGCAGATGGTACCCACCTACCTTCTTTGGGCAGAGAGACAAGTACACTGGTTCCATGTGAAGCCAAGAAGCCACACCTGCTTTGGGGATGATTTTTATAGGACTTACAAGACCTTGCAATTCCACAGCAAGCCAAAAATGTCTCAGATAGCCCCCCAAACCAGTGTTTTATATCCTCCTTTAAGTTTTACAGATAAAATAATTTTTAAGGGGGAAAAATTAAAAGAAAAAATAAAAACAAAACCAACCAAACAAAAAAAACACCAAACAAAAAACAAACCAAAACACAAAAAACAACACACAAACAACACAGACTCTAACAATGATCCTAAACTGTGAAGACTTAAGCCTTAAATTGTTTTTAAGTAATACTGAAATAACAGCAGGTCCTCTCATGCACAGAAAGCACTGGTAGACAAAGTGTTACCTGCTATGTATCTTCAGACTATAAAGGTACACCTAACAGAGCTAAAGAAAAGGACTCTTTGCTCCCTGAAATTATAACATAAGGTGATATTGTATAAAGGACTGATTACTGTAGATAATTAAAAAAGATTTAGGAGCAAGAAGTTTTAAAAAATCAGGCTGCATTGCTTTCTGGAGGATGCTTCAGTTACTGATTTGAACTGAATCTACAAACAGAGGGTAGATAAATGCCACTCTTGTTACCAAACAACATAAGAAAAAATATTTCCTTAAACTTCTGAGTAGATCTGCTCTGGGATACCAGGCAACCCATGACCTAATGCACAGCTAGCTCTTCTAACATCGTTAGAGTTCTTGTTCTGCTTCACCCACATCACTCCAGACAATAGTGCAGATCTAGCTAGCAAATCCTACAGGAAAACCAGAGTCAATTAAAAAAAGGAGTTCATTTCAGATGTGGGCTAAATTGCTCCACTAGTCAGGCAGCAAGAGATGCTGGCAGAGAAAGAGACTCAGTGGCTTTGCTCAAGAAGTCTTTGTGAAATTCTGCAGGTAGCCCAGAATGGCTGATCCCACACCTCCACCACCAGATCTGCTTATGCTCTGCTGCAGCAAAGACAAGCCAGGTACAAATCAGGAGGAAATGGAACTCTCTGTTATGATCTGTTAACGTCTCCCACTTCCCTACCCAGACAGGCAGGATCACAGACACAGAGAGATCACACTCCCTGCACCTCAGGGGCTGTGTTCAGATTTCCAGTGAAATAATTTTGAGAGAGATTTGTGCAACCAGGATGTGCCACAAAATCTCAGGCTATAGGATCATTTCAACTAAGAAGTAATTTTTGTCTGAGCAGAGCACTGGTGACAGATGATCCCTCCCTGACAAATCTGGCTGGAAGTTCTTCAGAAGGGACATCTGTGATGAATTCAGTTTGCATTTGAACTCTGCCATTCATGTTTGTTTTAAATCAACAAGGCACCCACGTATTGAACTTCACGAGTATATTGCTGGGAGTCTTTTCATCTCCAGGTGACTAACTGGCCCATCACTCCTATTGCCTTAACACTTCATACAGCTAATGCCAGCAGCACAGCCAAACATGCTGCTCCTAGCACCAACAGCTGCTGCCAACCAGCAAGAGGAAACACAGCCCTCCAGAGGATTCCTAAATCACCCACTGAAGTTCATCTGGTCCCCATGCTCACACAGCAGGTAAGAGTGCAGACTGGCTTCTCCCTGTCCACACAGTCTCTGTCAGCTGGAGCTCTGACTTGTGAGTGGGTTGCAGGGCAGCTACCAGCAGGGAGGGAAATCACACAGCAACAACTATCTGTCACTTGCTGCTATTACCCTTAAGTAACAGCATCACTGTAAAACTGCATAAAATTTTTATAGTGTAGTTTCCATCAAGGAATGTGAAAGAGGTTGGTAAATACTGTTTCATTCCTCACCACTCTCCTTGGCAGCTGGGAGAGGTACTACTAAACTGGAAAGCACTGAGAGGGTGCAAAGAAATTAAGTGACTTCTAGGTGATGCAGCCAGCCTAGAGTGACTCTCCTTCCTTCCTAGTAGTATTTGGGATTCTGCTGGAGCACAGTGGCCATGCAGAGAATACTCCTTCCCTCTTAAAATGCCACTCTGCTGTGGAGACTGCTAGGTAAACCCCACAGATGGAACTGGAGAGAGAGATCAGAAGCTGTCCATCCATCCATCCATCCATCCATCCATCCATCCATCCATCCACACACCTACCCAGGACTCCAGCACAAATTGAGACTTGCCAAGAATACAACAAGTGCTCTGACTGGATGTCCTCATTGAGGGGATGAATGAATGCACAAATGAACTGTAAAGGCAATCCTGCTGCTGCAAGTTTTCAAAGCAAGTGGGGATTGCCAGCTTAAACAAGCTCTGTTCACAATTAAAGTAGTTTACTCCTTTTCTACTTGCTGTCTTAGTTCTCTTTTGCTCCCTTCACAAGAGACTGGAGAGAAAAAGCATCTGCAGTCCAAGCTACTTATATCATACACTGTAAAAGAGTAGGACATTGAAAGGATGCCAAGTTTTTGGGTACACTATGAGAACCCTGAATCCCCTCTCCCAGAACTGGTAGAAATAGCAGGAGCTGAAATGTTTTTAGAGAAGGGTTCCAATGCAGAACTTTGATATCAGAGTGCTTTCACTGCACAGGTACTGTTTAGGTATCACTCCTACCTCCAATACTGACATTTCTCAAGTCACAGACCTTCTGGGCTCTATCCACAGACAAAATCTGCCTCTGCATTGGTCCTTCTTGTACTTCCATTTAATTCTAGATCACTTCATAAGCACACTAACAATCTTGCCTGTTCATATGGTCTTCAGGGATAAAAATTCTGGCTTTGGACTCGTTTTGTGAAGTGCCACATATACTTATTGCATCATATAAATACTACACCATCCAGAGACTGCCACAGCACAGTCACTCAGGCTTTCTGTGGAACATCTCAGGGTAATATGGAATCAGCAATTGGGTATCAAGTATATAAACATAACTGTAATCTAACCCTGATCTGCAGTGCCTAAATATAACACCATGTGGAGCTCAGCAGCATATGGTGGCACTAAAAACCTCTGAGCTGGTTTGCAGAGGCCTCGGTTATTCGTGCCAGGAGTGAAGGGAATCAGTGCTGCTCCACTGAGGAGCCACCCATCTGTCCCCCCCGGCCTGGGGCAGCAGTACCATACCTGTACCAGCACGGCTCTCTGTGGAGCAGGGGTGCACGGGCTGGAACTGCTCCCAGATCCCACCCTGGCGTGTGGCGTGGCTTCGTGCCCCAGCACTGCTGGCCACTGGAGGGAAGGCTGGATGCTGTCGCCTTTCTTTTTTGGGTCCTCGGCCTGAGAAGGAGAAAAGCAGCAGCATGAGCCTCAGGCTTTGCAGCCTGGATGTTCTCCAGCAGCAGCACAGTGTGCATTGACTCTGACGGACCTTCCCATCAGGGAGAGGTCAACCCTGGCACAATATGAACCATTTCTCCATTTGCAACCCACCCTTTTCCATGGAGTTTCCAAACTGCAGCAAGGAAAAGGGCCTGAGATGCCATATGCTGCAGTCTAGGCCATCCCATTTGCTGCAGGCTGGGCTTTTAGCTGGAAGGAATCCTATGCCTGTATTTAGTACCTTTTGACAACATGCAGCCTGCTTTGCTGTGCATTTAATTACCTCCTTCTACAACTGTGCTGGTTTTAGCTGGGGTAGAGTTAATTCTCCTCACAGCACCCAGCGTGGGGCTGTGTGTGGAGCTGTGCTGGGAGCAGTGCTGGGAGCACAGGGGGGTTTTTGTTACTGCTGCCCAGGGCTCACACAGGGCCAAGGGCTTTCCTGCTCCTCAGCCCACCCCACCCGTGGGCAGGCTGGGGGTGCACAAGCAGCTGGGAGGGGACACAGCTGGGACAGGTGACCCCGGCTGAGCAGAGGGGTGTCCCAGACCGTACGGCGTCACGCTCAGCAGTGTAAAGCTGGGAGGAGGAGGAGGGAGGGGGGACGCTCAGAGTGATGGCGTTTGTCTCCCCAAGTGACCGCTACGTGTGCTGGAGCCCGGCTGTCCTGGGGGTGCCTGAGCACCTGCCTGCCAGGGGAAGTGGGGAATGAATTCCTTGTTTTGCTTTCCTTGTGCACACATGGGTTTTGCTTTACCCATTAAACTCTTCATCTCAACCCACCGGTTTTCTCACTTTTACTCTTCTGATTCTTTCCCCAATGGTACTGGGGGAGTGAGTGAGCAAGCAGCTCTGTGAGGCTCATTTGTTGGCTGGGGTTAAACCATGACAACACTGACACTACTGCATGTTGCTTTCTACTTTAAATCACTTTTAACAACCTACTTTTTGGTATGCTACTTGCACTAGAAGACTGAGGAACATGATCTAGAAGGAATAAAGGTCCTTTCATTTCCTGAGGGGGCATTGCTCATTACAAAAGTCTTTATCCTACAGTTTTGACCCCACTATTCTTTCCAGTTTCATTCAACATGACTAATTCCCATTCTCTAGTGTAAATCTTGAGTGTATCTTCTGATCCAGCAGCCTAGAAATAGCTCTACACAGTAAACTAGGGATTAATGCCAAAAGCACTCAGTTATCTGTATCTAGGTGGGCATTCTTAGCAGTATCTCTCACAGGATCTGGGTATCTGTGCCTATGTCAGGAAGGTCTGTGTATTCTTAACACAGCCTAGGAAAATGCTGAGGAGATGGAAAATTATTCCACTTAGTCTCACAGATCTCTATTTGGGAAAAAGAGAACACCAAACAAACAACAATACCACCACCACCAAAACCAAACTAAAAAACCTTATTAAAACAAGTAGCCACAGCCAAACACCACAAAATTCTAGTCCCAGTGAACTCAATCGTTTTGTTGCTCTTGAGGGCGGATTTTCATTACATGCAACTCCTACTAATGGAAAGCAAATTTTACCATAAGCAAGAGAAAAAACCCATGCAAAAGTTAGCTATGATAATTTACCTCCCACCTCTGTGCCCAAAGGGAGCTTGCATGCAATCTCTTATCATCCAGATGCAAACATGCAGCTGACACTTTGGACCCCCAGACCCACCCTGACCTGCCTGCAACAGGATGAGTGCAATGGCAAAGACAAGGAACTCCCAAGAAAAGGTTCTGTGGCCTCAAGCATTACACTCAAGGCTCTGGAGCCTCAAGGTTTTGTTTGGTTTTAGTGCCTTAATGTTACAATAAGTCTGGAGAGGTTTTGTGTATCAGTAATTGCTCCTGCAAATGCCACTGAGCCCTAAAAAGCATGCAAACAAACTCGCTCTTGAGTAAGACTATCTCCATCTCTGCCTAGATCTCTTCAAAGAGGGAAGCCAGCATTTCTTTGCCTAATAAATTAGGAAAGATCAGTCACAACATGAACAAATCCACTGAGTTACCACTATTAAAAACAGTCAAAACTTTAAAGCATTTTTAAACTGTTGTAAACAATTATGACTGCTGGGATAATTAGAGAGTCTCAAACTTCAACCAAAAAGTGCAATCCTGTACCACTAACCATGATTTTCGTAGAAGGATCTGTGACTTCCAAGAAGTTCTCAGATTAAGCAATATTGTAAAATAATTTGTCCTTATAACTAGAATATATTATGGTAGTCCTAATGACAAGAGCCTCATGCTGTGAACCTAAAAGGCAGGCAGCACTTAATTTGCAACTAGTGATATTTGATTTTGCCACTAAATTAAAAGTGACTCCACACTGAATTGCATGATACATTTCATTCTGCTACAAAGAGGTCATTTACAAAACACATGCCAAAAGCAAAGATGAGTATTTAAGATGACATTTTGCAGTTCTTTTGATGTCTAACTATAATGAGTTAGAAAAGAAAGTTTAATTAACTCAGCTGAGTTGCATTTTTTCCCCAACCCACTGAAAGCCCATCAAAAGCAAAGCATTTCTATTGACTGATGTTGTGTACCTAACAAAAGCAGCTTACTTCTCTGCCCACACCAAATTTACTCCCCAACTGGAGTAAGACCCAGCCCTCCACCATCATACAACTACTGATTTCAAGAGAAGTTCATTCAAATTTTAGCAATGATCTGTTTAATCAGCTGATGCCACAAAGCCTTTGGAGCTAGGACATTTGGGTTTTTGACAGTTGAAATGTACTTTAAACAGAACTATTCTCTGGTTTTCATAAACTGCTACTCTAACATGGAGCTTAAGATCCTTTGTTTTCCTGACTCCATATTGCTCCTTAGCTGTTAGCAGACTCCAGTCATCAAAATTCATCATTTCAACAATCCTAGCAGCTTCATTTCACTGTTTCTCAATATGGAAAATTTCAGCTAAGGGAAGCAGCTGCAGCACATGCACACACACATGCACACACACAGGTGACAGACAGGGCACTTGCTTGAAGACTGCAGCCAGACGTAAAGAAGCAGCACAGCACTCTGCATTCCTCTTACACACAGGTGCATGAGCTCTCCTCATGCCTTTGCTTGGGTATTTTGGGAAGATGTTCTGCCGTGAGTGCAGAGACCATGTCACTACTCTTTTTAAACAGCCATCTGAGGAGGCACCTGTGAGCTGCTGAATTTCTTGACATCAACCCAGACTTTAGTAATACAACAAATAACACTGACAGTAGAATGGGGCTCACCAGTTGAGATTATATCAAAAACAAAAGTAAGTGTGCTAGGAATGATGGGATAACGTATGTGAAACAGACCCAGAACTTTTCACAATATGGTAACAGTAAGCAGAATAAGTTAATGGGCAGAAACACTTTCAGAGTTAACACAAGAGTAAAGTGGATTACAACTCAATCAAGGACTATATGTGGCTACCCCTGATCCATTAAATTGTATCTGCATAAAATCCTGGGAGACAAAGAAGAAAAGGTATCACAGCCAGGTGCTGGGGCACAGAGATCTGTGTTTGGGAGGCACGACACCATTTTGCGTCTGGGTCAATTCTGTGAAACCTAAAATCAGGCAAAGATATCTGTTAAACCTCAGATAATGCTACCTTAACTTGTTCCTCTTTGGAAGACAAGGGAATGACACCTGGCTGACCACAAGGACATTGTTTCCCCATTCATCAGTCAAGCCCCTCTCTGAACTCTAGTAGAAGTGACAGAGACACTTTCCCTTACCCTCTACACTAATGGAAACCAAAGGCTTTACTGTAGCATAGGTGTGTAGCAGGACACAGGTCAAGCTCTAGATTTAGGTTTACAGATCAATCTGTTCTCTGCTTCAGCATCATAAACTGCAAAGCACCATAAACTGCAAAGCATCAAAATGCTTCATTGGCCAAGACAGTACCTCTTTGCTTGTGCTGCTTGATGGAGGATGCACAGCTGAATCTGAACTCTTCTTCTGCTTGTGGTCATGCTGGAGAGACAGTAGCTGTGTCTGATCTTTGGGAAGAGTTCGATGCATCTTCCTGTGCTGCACATCTTCCATCTTCTGAAAGCAAAGAGGGGTGAACCTCAGAGAGAACAATGTCTTGGAGTCCAACCAAGTTGACTGCTGGAAATATTTGCTTTTCAAAGAACAAAGCAAGCACAATTCCAGCAGGGCTGACAGAACAGCCACAACCCTGAGCAATGGGAAGCACAAAGTGACCTCAAATACTCTGTGCTTGGCTTTTGAGACAGCATGTCAGAAAATCAGATCTTTTTTCTTTTTACTTTTCCTAGAACCAGAGAGCTTTTAATCAAACACTCCATACTCCTGTTTCATTACAAACTAGTTTGCTGCTGAAACATCAGAAAAAACATTGTGGCCAAGGTGCCAGACTTGCCAACGAGACTTAAATGAGCATTAAAATGAACCTACTCTCTAGTTTTAATTGTGAAAAAGAAACGGTGCTGGTTACAATCTGAATGAAAACTGAAGACTGGAGATTTAATCTCAGGTGGAACTAGTGCTAGAAGCTCTCAGGATAAAGATATTTTAAATCAGATTGAAGTGACTGAAGACCATTTCAGCAGAAGCAGAGGAATGGCAGGGACAGAAGTGGGAGATGCAGTGTCATTGCTGTAGATAGGGAGGATGACTCGGTAACATGCAACTCCAAAGGAAGCTGAAGCTGAGAACAAGAGGCAGTAAACACAGTAAAAAAGTCCCTCTCTGGTCTGTGATTCAGAGGATGGGAACAACCTCAGGGAACTAAGAAAGACCTCAGCTGCAGGAACAGGGAGCTGCAAAATGCTGTCAGTAAACAGTCTTTTCATACCTGCTTCTTTTCTGATTTCCTCTGTCCATCTGCTACAAACTGTTCATCTTCCACAGCCCTTTTGTCATCTTTACACCTCTCCTCTCTCCTCTGAGCAGCCTTAGCCTCTGGCCACCTCTGCTCACACTCCTGCTGCCTTTGTAGCTCCTGCTCTCGCCTCTGATGCTGGAAGAGAGCCATGGAACAACACTGCTTATTTTATACTTTTGGCCCCACCAATTACTTATGCCATGGTTCATGTTTCCCACCTTTGCACTTTTGGCAGCCGAGGGCAGATTTGCCACCCATTTAAGCAAACATGTGAGATCTCTGTGATTGCTGGCAGCTAACCAAATGAGAAACACCTTCCTGTCCTTCTGAGGAGGAAAGGTTTTTCCAGAGTCCCTTGTTTTGCTATGCTTCATAAATGCCAGCTCCAGAGTGTTTGCACAATGCTTGAATTTTGTCAGAGACTCATGAGAAGAGACAGGGTGATTTAGCAATGCCCCCAGCACCATGGTGTGTCTGACAGCTGAAAAGGCAGCAGCTTTCTTCTAACATCTTAGGCAGAAGTAGGGCCAGGACTCTGGATCAGACACACTCCAAATTGGGCAACACACACGAGATCTCCCATCCCATCTGCTCGGGCTTCTACCACCAAACAAACTCAAGCAAAATTCCCTTCCTCTTCTGTTTCCAAAGCTCAGGGCTGGTTGCCAGCAGGAAAAGGACAAATCCCATTTAAAATAATTGAAAATCATTGTGTTCAAACATGACACAGTTCTCCAAGGGCTAAAGACTACAAATGCAGGTTGTGCTGACAATTTAACACAGCCTTCTTGCCTTTCAAAGCCTACTCTCTACAGGCATATTTTTTATCTGTAACGAGACGTGGAACAAGAATACAAGCCAGTCCCTACATCCTCCAGCCTCCTCCTCTGCTCTTTCTGCTGCTCGATCCGTTTCTGTCGCTCTGTCAGCAGCTGCTTCTTGTACTTCTCCTGGTCCTTCAGCTGCTGCTGCTGGCGATGAGGGTCGGATCGGTTTTTGTTCTCCTGCTGCAGCCTCAGAAACTCACGGCGGAGAGTTGACTCCCCCGGGAGATTAACTATGGAGCTGAAACAAAATGGTGGTTTCTGCATGACTAAACATAACTTAAAGAGAGAATACAAGGTGCATTGAGAATTGCTTGGTGTCCTCTGTTAGCAAATGAAGATGTTCCAATAAATCTCCAGCATGTTGACTATGCAGCTGCACTTTTACTGTGCTGCAAATAGCCTGAAGCTGTTTATTGGTCTTTCATTTGAGAGTTTCCTCCCTATTGCCAGGGAAGTAAGAAGCAGCTTATTACAGACACCTTACACTCAGCAGTTGTATTTGATAACTACAGAACAGTTAAAGCTACCAGAGGGGATCCAGGAGATAACCCAGGGATTCAGAGCAAGTTAAGAAAGCCACTCTGGCTGAGGAGAGCTGCCTTCAATGAGAACAGCTTGGGCAGTCAAATTTTCTATTTCAGTAATAAAATTAACCTTGGTTCTCCTTCATCTTCATTCAGCTCATCATCTTCCTCCTCACTTCCACTGTAATCATAGTCCGTTTCTTCTAAAAAAAGAGAACAATAAACAAACCCCAGTGGAGGATGCTGTTATTCAGGATATGATCTTGAACTTTGTTTCTGAGAGCTCAATCTGAACTACTATTTAAAAGGCACAGGTTACACTGGGAGGCTGAGGGGAGGTAAGATATCCATGTACATAATTCAAAATCTAGTTCAGACGTTTCAGGGCAGCCCCTTTACACACTCCCACCTTTTCCCTTGACTGAATGTCTTAGTTTTGCAAAACTAACCTATTTCCATAATCTGAAATCAATTAGGCTAAACCCACAGAGAAATCCAACCCCCATAATAACACCAGCAGAGAGGATCTTCAGAAAGAAATTCAGATAGGACTTACAAGACTTGTACTGCCCTGCTCTGTTATTGTATCCTTGTTGTATGGCTAAGCTGAGACCCTCAGTAAACCCAGGTTTCCTTTTGCATTAAAGTGAGTAACTAAAAAAAGAACCAGGAGTAATAATTTAATGCTAGCACAGCGGTTTGGAAGAAGCTGACCCACAAGTTCTCTTCAAGACTAAAATGAAGGCAGCTTTTAAGGGATAATTTTAAACTGGCCCTACTCTGCATTGCTGCCTTTATGGCAAGCTGAAGTGGGACTTCAGTTTTCTTTCTGATGTCATTATTTTGAAGGGTATAGTTTGGCAATTTTACACTGTTCTCCCTTTCAGGGGAGCTTTGATTAAAAATAGCACTTTTTGGGTCAAAATATAACTAGCAAGAAGTGATTGTTATCACTGCATTCCTCTTACAAGAAAAGGCTGAGAGACCTGGGGCTCTTTAGCCTGGAGAAGAAAAGACTGAGAAGGGATCTTACCAATGCTTATAAATATATAAAGGGTGGGGGGGGTCAAGAGGATGGGGCAAATCTCTTTTCAGTGGTGCCCAGTGATAGGACAAGGGGCAATGGTCCTGAGCCCAGGAGTTTTCATCTGAACAGGAGTTAAAAATTCTTTGCTGTGATGGTGCCAGAGCCCTGGACCAGCCTGTTGCGAGAGGTTGTGGAGTCTCTGTCTCTGGAGACTTTCAAAACCTGCCTGGATCCTATTGTGGGCAACCTGCTGTAAGCCAGCCTGCTTTGGCAGGGGGTTGGACTAGATGATCTCCAGAGGTCCCTTCCAACCCCCACCATTCTGTGATTTTGTGAAACATTTGTTGAGTACTGCTTAGATACTCAAGAAAGTAGAGACTTACACTTTATTTGAACTCCTTGCTCACGTGAGCATTAGAGTTGCTCTCAGTGAATCGTGGGCAGCCAGACTCCATAGACTTTAGCACTTAAAACACCACTAAGGACCTGGGCTTTTGCAAAGACATCTTCAAAATGGACCCGCTGCTATCAAGGACAACACTTTCTCAGTTTTCCTGATTCTGCTATTCAGTTGCATCTGCCTTGTCCTCTGCTGCCAAAATTGGAAAAGAATCTGCTCTCTGCAGTGCCTTTTATTTTGCTTTGCCACCTTACCCTTTTCTCCTTTTTTCTTCCTGGTCCTGTCCAGGTGGTCTTTGAGCATGATGCGCACCTGCCGCTCGTTCTGCATGTCACGGATGAAGGAATGCTTAAGCAAGGTTTCCGTGGAGGGACGGTGCACATAGTTTTTTACAAGGCAGCTTTCAACAAAGTTTAGGAATTTCTTTGACCTGAAAAACAGAGAAGTGGAAGAAAGCAATAATATTTTTCACCTTGTGCACCAAGCAGCAGCTGAGTGATGGAATGCACTAACTTCGCAAGGTTTCCTTTTCCACTGGAACTGCACAAGACAATTTGATTTCTGCCACTCCAGTGTGCCTCCTGAAACCAGCACGGCCCTGAGGGTCAACGGTGGGGAACTCAACCCCAACCACAACCACCCTTCCAATGAAGTTACCCTGAGTTTACACCTGGATCAACAAATCCACGATCTGGCCAACAAAACTGTTTCCAAAATGCCGTTATTCTTTTGATATGCTGAAGATTTTCTTCATACACTTTGTTTAAAAGACAAACTAATCCTCTGTAGGCCACAGTGACTGCCGTTAGCCCCACACTCTCTGTGCAGCCTTCTGACAAAGCACAGACCCCAAGCAGTCCATCTAAGTCTTGCTTACACTGCAATTTCAGCCACTCATGCCAAGCTTCAGCAACTGCAATGACCGCCACAGTTTAGGCAGGGTTGAAAAAAAAAGGTGTTGCTTCCCAAAGTTAAACTACATCTGCACCTGTGGCTTAAGCCAGCACTAGAAACAGCCTAGGAAAGACCCCACAGATCACCGTAGGATTTGACTAGATCATTGTCTCCAGCAAAGAGATCTCGAAATCCTCCTAAGCCCAGTGCAGCACAAACACAGTTTTTACACATTTCTTTACCATTTTCTGGATTTCAGCTTTGGGGGCGGGTTCCGTGGGATGAGGAAGAGTGCTCTCATGGGGTGCATGTCACACAGGGCTGCAAAGGAAACCACAGGCTATTGAAGGGTGCACATCCCCCCCATAGCCCTCCCACTGCCTGAGCACGCTGACCAGGAGCCTGGCTCTCCTGGCAGAGAGCAGCAGTTCTCCACAAACACTCCCGCTTCCAACAGCACAGAGCCACACCGTTAGTCAACCAAACTCATGCTACAGCCAAGAAATAAAGGCTCTGAATACACAGAAATCTTCCACAGTATGCTGTTACTGCCAGTTAAATGAGGTTTGAAAGAAAAGCTGCATAGAAGGAACAAGTACAATTTTCTTCACCTTTTTTATATATAAGGCTTCAGAAGGGCATAAATAAAGCTCATGTTTCTAATACACCAGTGGGTGCTTTCACATAAACGCAAGTTAAAGGTGGGACTGAAAGACTTACTCAGTGTATTATGTCTGATTTATGGTTCAGGTAAATGATAAGTTTTAACTAAACTCCCAGCTGCATTGCTTAGGACTTAGGAGAAAATGCAGGATGAAGAAAACCCAATGCCAAGCAGAGAGCTCACAAACTGCATCACTGGCACAGAGCATGACCACCAAGCACACATTTCATCTGCTCTGTGTTTCGGGAGTGTGAGCACTGTTATTAGGCACCCTGCAACAGATCCTAGTCATGCATTCAGACACTGGTTTCTCTCCAGCCCAACATATTTTGCTTTAGTTATAACGTTCTGGAAAGTTGAAGCCACAACGAGCCCTTCAGAAAGTAAATACTCCACAGCTCATCTATCCCAGGCATTTTGTATGGAATCATGAGTGTGCTCCATCCATCATGGAGAAATATCAAGGGCCAGAGGTCTTCCCTCACAAAACAGAGCTACTGAATGACAGCTGATAGAAACTATATGAAGGCTGATTTCTCATGATACCTGGGTGTTCAGCAGTGATTCCCTTAACAGAAATCAACTTACAGCATGACAGAAGTAGTAAGAGTGAGAAGACTGTGGTCTGGTAAAGCCTTCACTGCCTTCTGTTAATTTTTCTGCCTGCATCTATCTGTGTTCTGTTTTTGACTTTCTCCTTTGTATGTGCACTAGCACAGTGGGGATGGAGGGCAGAAGAGGTCTGGTTCCTAGCTATGGGTCCCATGCACTGTTGTACTACACTACACAAACACAACAGAATATAATGCATAGTATTTCCTGCCAAAACCAGTGAAAACATCAAAAACAAGTGGCATGAGGAATCAGAATGCAAAGCTATGAAGTCTCTCTTCAAAGAAAACGCCCCACAGATTCATGTCTCAGGACTAAGCTTCAGCTAGGCTGCAGCACAGGGTCTGAAAGTGCTCCTTGACTCCAGCTGCCTCCCGAGTGCTGCAGAAAACTGTTGTCCCAGCTCTGATGGGACAACAGCCAAGTGTGTATTCTAAAAACACAACCTACGTGCTCTCGAGCTCAGGCCAGAGTATAATTTATCTCCTCTCCCACGCAGTGACTGGATATCCCATCCCATCACATCTGCTTCACGGGCACCGGGGCAAAGCAGCCGGTCCCCTCTGGAAACAGAACCACCCGAGGTCTCAGCACTCACCCCCAAACCTGGGAGAATCAGCTGACTCCCTGAGTGAAAATATAACCTTCAAGCCCAGCTTCTCCCATTGCCATTGGGTTTTTTTTAGTGACCTAAACTCAAGGCCTCTCTTGCAATTTTTTCTCCTAACATGTCAATGCTGTACCCACAGGCAGTGATCAACAAAGTGATGCTAGCAAAAGCTCAAAGAAAAACTTTATTTCCCTAGGAAATGAAGGCAAGGAATCAAAATACAGCCTTAAAGAGTTTGAAAGAAAGAGGAAAGCATGAGTCCAAATGAGAAAAAGTCAGAGATTATTTTCAAAGCCAGAGCAGAACCAGAATTTGGTACATCTGTGCATCAGCCAAGCGTCAGCTGTTCTAACACCAGGCACGTTCCCCAGGCACAGTCACCCCACCTTCAGAACACATCACTTACGAGGAGCTCCTTCAGCCATTTCAATAGCAGTGATCCCCAGAGACCATAGGTCACTCTGCAGGAAAAGAAACATTGCACATTGCAACTTGTAGCATTCAAGGATTTTTTTGTTTTCTTTGTTTTCTTTTGAGGTTTTTGTTTTGGTGTTTTTTTTTTTTTTTTTTTTTTTTTTTTTGTTTTGTTTTTTTTTTTAGTGTGTTTTACAGTTCCCCTAGATTTCTTCCAGATTGGGTGGTTTTAGCTGAAATGACATACATTCTGCTCCCTCCCATCCCCTGCTGAGCTTTTGGGAAATGTGCTAATAGCCAGAAGCTTCCCATTTCCCATTTCCCATGCAACTCTGAACAGCTGATTCATCATTTGAGCAGCCAGGCTCAAAATGCAAACCTTCTGCATTCAAAACCAAGAGCCAGAATACAGCAGGCACCATTTAAATATAAGTCTTAAATCTTTTAAACTGTTCTCATGAGGCAGAGAGACGCAGCAGTGCCTCACCCCACTGCTCCTGCCCAAAAAAATGATTGCTCTTAATTCTTATTTCAGAACAGTCATTGCTGAACTTCTACACTGATGGAACAGAAATTCTGGTCAGGCCTTGGGGGCTGACTTTTTCTGTCCACAAAGTCTCTAGTAAGATGGTTTTGGGCACAGGACAGGAGAACATGTTGTGCAGTCAGATTTACACCACAGAGTATATTCAGCTCAGTTCACTTTGAGTGGAGTTTCCTTTACCAGCTCAGCTGGATGCTAAGGGCCAGGTTTTGATCATGGAAGGTAAACTGGAAACACTACTAGTAACTATAAAAACTTCACAGGTTTCCACTTGATTAATCATGTGAATTATTTTACTATTTTTTTGTGTCTAAATGTAGCCAAATGAGAGGCACATGACCAAAATAATATGCAGGGCTTCTATAAAACCACCTTTTTAAAAGGCAATGACAGAAATCAAAGGTTCAAAGTTTAGAAGCAATACACCATTAGATGAGCAGCAGTTCACACCAAGCCTGGCACTCCAACTACATTTGACTTTATCAACAGACCCTTCTCAGTCCAGTTGCTCTGAACTGACGAAAACCAGTTTGCATCACAGTCTGTGGTGGGGTTTGGCAATATAACTGTGGGACTTTAATAGATTCACAGTCATGACCTGTTATTAAATGACTGAAAATCAGAGAAGCCTTCTAGTGTTAGTACCACAGGTTTTAGGAACAATGGGAGAAACAACCAGGCTACACAGAATTTTGGTTTGGAGTTTCAAAGCCAAGAGGCAGACAGGTGAAAGGGAGGGACAGCAGTGTTTGTAAAGGTCAGTGTGTGTCTACAGACATATCTGTGTGTATATATTTTTACTCATTTGTTGTAATTTTTTTGTTGTTGAACAGCAAGAAAGAAGTTACTGCTACGTTGCTCATCATACCAATTGTATCAGCTATAAAGTTCTATATAAGTAAGTACCCATGCCACCTTCCAAGTCATAGCACTGTCTGCATAAGTGCTTCCAAAGCCCTACTCTGATCAGTTTTAAACTATCACCTGCAGAATCTCTTTGGAGGCAGACATAAATGCACGTGGATGAACTGTGATTATTACTGGCAAAGAAATCTCAAGAATTAGGGGTATACGTTCCTAATGCCTGCATCTTCTGAAAAGTGCACGTTCTCATAATAAAACAATAAAAAATAAATCGACTGGGGCAGGGAACAAAGACAAGAGCTTTCAGTAAAAAGGTTTACTTGTTATGAAAAAAAAAAAACCCCAAGAACATTCTTTGGTCATGACTGACACTCACAGAACATGACCTCACTCTGCCAGTGCAGCAAGAAGGTCTCAGCGAAGGAGAATCACAGCCTCTGAATCACTAGAAAATGGAGCAATAACAGGTTCTTCTAATAAATATTTTAGAAGCCACAATGAGAATGAGAGGTACAAAGTGGCAACCCAGAGAGCACCTGAACCAAAAGAGTGACCACAAGGTCACTCAGAAGATGGCTGCTCAGAAAACCACCCCTGGAAAACATCCTGCATTGTAAGTGTAGACAGACAAATGACAACACTGCTGGAAACAGGCCAGAGAACAAAGAATAAGCTTTGTCTCTTTGGAATAGCATCAATGTATTATAAGAGTTAGGAGGAGAACCAAAAAAAGTGCTTGCTCCTAGTTCTTGGGCTCCCCAGTACGAGGAAGTGGGTGGACACACTGAAGTGGGTGCAGAGAATGGCCACAAAGATGTTTAAGGGGTTGGATGGAGCTGGGAGGCTCTGGGCTGAGAGAGATAGAATCATTCAGTGTGGAGAATGGAAGGCCCAAGGGGACCTCACAAACATGGGAAATGACTTCATACAAATTCTTGATGGGAGGGGACTAAAGAAGACCAAGCCAGACTTCTGAGCAGTGCCCAGTGACAGGACAAGAGGGAATGGGCAGCAGCTGAAATACCAGCAATTCTGTCCCTTCTCACCTCAGCCACCCTGCCAATGACCAGAAGTCATTCTGGGACGGGAAACCTCTTGTAGTCACATGCGCATAAATGAGTTAACATTAATTATTGCCAATTAATAAAGAGGACAGAGTAAAAGTGCTGTGTCTCAGAGAAGAGCAGTAGCTTGCCATATTATTATTACACTACTTCAAGTATTCCGTCCAAATTTACCTCTTCCTTTCTTTTCCATCCCAACCTGCAACCTCTATGGGTTTTTTTTAATGTTTTTTTTTCCCCCCACAGAAATTCACGACAGTGTATTTCATGTATTAACAATTCACAAAAATACATTCATAATGAAACTCCACTTCTAAAAAGAGCTATATTACAAATACTTCTATTTGTACAGTTACAGTATTAGTGTGGTTTAAGAGGAGGGAATTTTGAGCTTTTCAGTTGCAGTACTTCAGCATGATTTCATTAACCTGCACACTTTGCTACCTTATGCAGAATAGAACACTTACTCTGTAATCATATGTGGAGTCTGGGTTCTCCTCACACGCAATGACTTCGGGTGCCATCCAATATGGTGTGCCAATAAATGTGTTTCTTCTCCCAATAGTCCTATCCAGCTGGGCACTTACACCAAAATCCACTAAAAGCCAAGCAGAGGTAAAGAAATTAATAAAGAGGTATATTCACATAGCAAATATTTGCTTGGCTACTTTCATACTGCTTAGAATACCAACCCTTTGGATTACACACAACGCATGTCAAATCTGAGTTCCTCCACTACTTCTTGTCAAACAGCTGAAATGTCATGGCCTGGGTTTTTAGTTTTTATTTTTTTTTCCTTTTTGATAGAAAGATTAAATAAACAGCATGCTAAATCTGCCAGGCAGGTTACAGCAGACATGAATTGCTCTGGGAAGATATTACAGAGTAATTTATGCTTCATCTAAATGCTACATTGAGTAAGTATCAAGATCTATAACTAGTATCTGAAAGGAAAAATAGTATCCATCGACAAGACAAATTTGGATATTCCTAATACGGTCATTTGTGAAAGCTGGAAAGAACTATATCACTTCATTTTGAGGTGTTTGGAATAACTCCTTCCCTACTAGCTAGACAGAATACTACTTTAATCTTAGATTCGTTATCATGAGAGAATTGTGTAGTGCTCTTCGCATTGGTAAGAGTGTTACTTCCATCAGGGTTGTACAGCAAAATGGCTTTGTTCAGATGGGAAGAAGGGCCCATGCAACCAATAATTATGTGATTGTATTTTCCTTTGAACAGACCTCTAAGATACACTAATTGGATCCGCTGGGCACAGCACTTGAGTGCTATTCACAGAGAAGACAAAATAACAGGCCAAAGAAAGGACTGAAAGGAGACACCCTACAGTTAACACCAAGGAGCAGATTTTCTCACATCACCTCATTGCAGATCCTCTGCAAACCACAATCATTTATACTACTATAATTTGACGTGCCTGTTTAGCAAACCTTCTCCAGCATCAAGCTGGACCTGATCTTTGGGATCATCATGTGCTCTGTGCTTGTGATGGGAAGTGAACACACACTGAAGTGGAACAGAAGTGGACTGAAGACCTTTTGGGTTTCTCCTGTAAGACATACGAGCTAAATCTATCTGGAAACAACTTCTTTTTTTTTTTTCTTTTTTAAATTGTTGCACTTAGTAATCTGTTTCATCTTTTCTTGTTAATCAGGTGACGAATGGTGGGACTAGTACCTATACAGGACTGTAAACACCCAGAACCCCCCATCTTGCCAGTGTTAAAAGGGAATAGTTGAAAACTGGTACATATCTTTTAGAGACTACAAGCAAAATCCTGCCTTTGTTTAATACAACAGCAAAACTTGCTTTGACATCAGTGAAGCCAGGATTTCACTGTAAGGTTAAACCATAAAGAGATTTTAAAGCATTTATTTTCACTTGCTCTAGCCAAACATCCTGCCCCACATCCACAGGCCGCATTTATTATTTTTATTCTCCAACTCTACAGCAAATTCTTTCAATTAAAGAGAGATAGAGCATAAAAATCATCCCAAATAAGAGAAGCAGTCTCCTTGAGACTGCTCCTTTAAACCACAGCCATGAGTTCTCTGTGGTCTTCCCAAAACATGAAAGACATTCCCTCCTCAGAAGAGATAAGTACTTGAGTTTAGCCTTAGGAAGTCAGAAGTTAACACTGACATTTCACAGCTGGTAAAGGAAATGAGTAAACCTCCAACATTTTTCAGAGATGACTATTAGTAAGAGCTACTCTTGAGTGGTAGCCCTTACATAAGTATTTTCACCCACTGCCAGATTTATGAAAATCTCTTAGACCGCTTCCCTTAGAGAAATGGATTAGCATAATTTATGCCCCCAACTTTTCTCTTTTGGAAGTCTTTGCATGTCAGCATCTGCTGTGAAGGCCTGATGGTGCTCTGACTTACTAGGCAGGTTCTGTGTTTGCCCAGAAGTAGCTGTATTCCTCACAGGCTGTGAGAGAGATCCTTGCAGAACATGTCACATTTTCAGCTCTTTCTACATGACAGACACCTCATAAAGATAGGCATTAATGCTACTTAACATATTTTTGGCTTTTAGGTTACTGACTTTTTTCCCAAGACAAGATGGAAATCTCAAATTTTTACCAACAGGTTCTTAGCACAAATTTAAGAACACTTACCCAGTTTTACTTCTGCATTTTCTGTGAGAAGAACATTCTGACCTTTAATATCTCGATGGATGACATGGTGAGCATGAAGATGTGCCAAGCCCTATAAGAAAACCAGACTTTCCTTATTCTTTCTTCCTATCATTATCATGAGCATGGCGTTGCTGCCTTTTTACACTTTACCCTTTTCAGACTTTACTCACAGGGAAAGCCCTTTAGCAACATGAAGACCTCAGTTTCAGAGAGAAGAGATAATCACTGCCTCAGTCCTGCTTGCAACACTTTTTCTGACATAAGCCAAGATGCTCTTGGCCTTCTTGGCCACCTGGGCACACTGCTGGCTCATGTGCAGGAGGCTGTTGAGCAATGGATCCAGGTCCTTTTCCACCAGGCAGTTTCCAGCCACTCTCCCCCAAGCCTGGAATGTTGCCTGGGGTTGTTGTGACCGAAGTGGAGGACCTGGCACTTGGCCTCATTGAATATTATACCATTGGCCTCAGCCCATTGATCCACCCTCTCCAGATCCTTCTGTAGAGCCTTTCTATCCTCAAACAGATCAACTCTTCTGCCCAACTTCGTGTCTGCAAACTTACTGAGGGTGCCCTCAATCCCCTCATCCAGATTGTTGACAAAGATATTAAACAGAATTGGCCCAACTACTGAGCCCTGGAGAACACCAGGTGTCATCAGCCACCAAGTGGACTTAACACCATTAACTACTCTTAGAGCATGGCCATCCAGCTGACTTTTCTTCCAGAGAAACATATACCCATCTAAGCCAGAAGCAGCCAGTTTCTCCAGGGGAATGCTCTGGGAAATCATATCAAAAACTTTAACTAAAGCCTAGGCAGACAACACCCACAGCCTTTCCCTCACCCACTAAGCAGGTTGAAGAACCCTCCCCACATGCTTCTGCTACAATTATTGCAATCTGCAGTCCAAGGCCAAATCCCTGTAAGCTGGCCAGTGTTCTCTACAGAGCATGCTTCTCAACATCTCTGCTCTAGAAGCAAAGATTTACCCCTATTCAAGCATCACTTGGGCATGTCATTTGAATTCCAGCTCCCAGGACGCACATTTATCTTACCATTATTTAGAAAAGAAGTAAAACTCCATTACAAGGAAGACGGATCAGTAACTCTGTAATGGGTTTTGAATTTAGAATGACAGGCTCGAGCATATTTTTTTTCCAGGCTAGTTCACTAGATTGCACTTGGGAATTGTTTTATCCTCTGTACTTTCCAGGAACAACAACAAAAAAAATAAACCACAAACAAAAGGCCTGAAGCCTGCATAGAATGAAATATAGCCCAAATAATTATCTTGGGGAATATTGCCCCAGCAGGGCCACCTTTAAGGCTTTGGAATGCTGCTAAGTCAACATTTCTTCCAATAGTGAAGAAAAGAGGCCCCTGAGTGTGTGCAGGTAAAGAAATTATGAACAGAAAGATCTTACACAGCATGAACAGCCAAAGCAGTGAGCAGCAAGACCTGCTGATATGGAGAGCAGGCTTACTGAAAACAGAAAATTTATTGACTTTTCTAGATGCCCATGACTTTCAGAAGATGGGTATTTGCCATAGGAAGCAGGAATTTTCTGTTCTTCCTACAGAAAATGGGATTAACTCCAACAACATGGGATGTCAAGCAGCCATCTCACTGTCTCTTTGGGCTTTTCTGTGCTCAAGGATCACAGCCCGTGGACCCCATGGATCAAAACCTTTAAACAATAATGCTCATTGGTGACTGCATTAGCAACCAAAAGCTTGGAAAGGCCTTTTTGTTGCAAATGACTGACAAAGCTCTGTTGGCATGACTCACCCTGAGAACCTCTCTGCAGATGTAGGCAATCCAGTCTTCCTTGAAACAGTTCCCTTTTGTCTTCTTCACCAGGTCGGTGACAGAGCCCGCGCCACAGTACTCCATCACCAGCTGCAGGAGGACAAAGGCAACACACCTTCACCACAGCACTGAGGGGGCCAGCAGAGACACCCCTGCAAAGACCCACCCCACCAACATTCCAGGTGTGGCAAACTACAGGCAACCTTCCTGGATGCCAAGTGACATAAAAATCTCATTTCCTGAATCGCATACACTGCTGAATAAATAAAACACCTTAGTAGTGCTCCTCTCCTATTGCAGTTTATGGGTATCTTTTCTTTTTCTTTTCCCCAGAAATTAAAAAAAAAACAGAGCTGCTGAAAACCATGGAATTTTTTTTTCAAAATTTGACATTTCTCATTTCGTTGTGGAGCTTCAAAAATCTTGCAGCCAAAAAAAAAAATTGGAGGATTCATTTTTCTTTATTGCCAGTTCCTCTGTTCCTTTTTTATTTTCCAACTGAAAAAAAGGAGAGGAAAATGACACGAAAAAGGAGATGAAGGGAAGAGGACAAGCTCTCTTTCACTTTTGTTAAAAAAATAGTAACAGAAATGTTTAATTGGGAGAAAGAAAATGCTCTAACAACAAATCAGAGTAACAGCACATGTCACAAGTTTATGCTCATCCTCAAAGGAAATCATAGGGGAAGGAAGACATCTAGGGAGGAGCAATTTTTCTCTTTTATATGTTATTCTTCAGAACAATGACTTCAGAGTTTCACTGAGACAAAGTCTCAAGCCAAGCACACCGGAGCTGTAAATCTGATGAACAGAAATGACACTAAACACTTACCCAGAGCTGATCATCTTGGCCTGCAGGACTTTTCTTTACAAATGCACCATAATACGTAGCAATGTTCCGGTGATGGGAGTACTTTTTTAGCATATTTATCTCCAGCTTGATTTCCTCCTCTTCATTCTGAGGCAAAAGAGAACAGAAGGCTGTTTAGGTGACCAGAGATCACTGAGCTCCAGGGATGTCCAGAGCTGCAGGGCAACCTCTGTCTTTGGAGGCTTTCAACATCCAGCTGGAACGAGCCTTGATGCCATGGCTGACCCTACTTTGAGCAGGAGGTTGGACCAGAGACCTTCTGAGGTTCCCTCCAACCTCAGTTCTCCTGTGATTGTGAGACTGAAACTGAAGGCCAGGTTCTTAAAAACCATGAATCACCCTGATCCACAGCCCTAAACCAATGAATTTCTAGGGTTTGACCTAAAGAATCAAAAATGTCTTAATTTGGGTATAACCCTGGGTATAGCCCCCAGGGTGTCCTCAGGGGGGTTAGACAGGACCTATTACTCCCCCATTTGCAGTTTCAGTACGCAGTAATTTAGTCTTGGAGAAATGAACCAGATTCAAACTGAAACAAAAATATTCCTAATACTCCATTATTTAAAGATTTGGAAATGCCCTCAGTGCAGGCATTAGCCAACTCATCTTCCCAGTCCCACAGAGGGTCTTACTGGGAAGAAATAAAAGCCAAGAAGGAGATAACTCACCATAAACCAAACTCCAGAGCCTGTGCAGGGTTAGGATCTGCCTCTTCCTTACAGTTGTGAGACTATCCCACCTGGACCATGGAGGTTTTTCCCCTCTCCTAACACTCTGCCACCAGTTAAGGCTCTGGTGTGCTGGGGGCTAGCACCCCCCCAGACATCTCCTTCCAGGCACTAGCTAGCTCTGTTATCCCACTGTCTTTGTTTCAGTCTCTTCAGCTTCAGTACAGCACCATGCACAATGGGACAGCTAATGGAAACACAAGTTTTAATAATTACATTAGAAGGAAATGCCCCTTTCAGAGAGAAGTGCCTGATCTGAAAAGGTCCTCTGAGAGCTTTGAGTTTACTCTCCTGCCACCCAAGAGAATGGGTGCACAATAGCCTGTGAAATACATGTAGATGTTGCAGTAATAGCAAATTAGTGCTGCTACAAAGCATCCTTAAAAATGGTTAAAAGGAGTATGATAAAAGTTGAAAATTAATTCACCTTGCTGCAAAACATCCCAGTCAGCACTTACTAGCTGAAGGGAAAATACAGAGGCAACAAGAACAGCTCAGCCCCACAGGACATTTTTCTGCACTTTTCCACTATTTTCCAGTAGCTTTGCCACCGAAGCATTCCTTCAGCCATCACAACAGACTGCTTACAAAACCAGCTGCACTGTCCTCTCCACCTGCAGCAAAACACTAAAGCCTGACAGGCTGAAGTGAAGTTCCCTCAAGCATATGCATATGATGTGTCTTAGTAAACTCGACCACACAAAGACTATACCCAGCAGAAGGGAACAGTAAGTTTTCCCCAGTAACATCAATCCACAGGAGACACGTTACCAGATCAAAGCCTAATTGTCTTAAGCTTTAGGAAATGGGAAATGTAACAGAACTCCACTTGAAGCAAAATGAGCTATTTCAGCTTTCAGAACAGCCCTTTTGTTGAACACAGGCTCTCAAGCTGCACACATTACACCAGACATTTCATTTATGGTTTGTTTGCAATTAAGAAGAAAGAAGGACGCTTAATCCTTGGCTTGATACATGTTGAATGACTTAATTAATGAGGGTAAGGAGGAGCCCAGAGCAGCACCTGGAGTCTCCAAGAGAAATCAGAGCTGGCTCCCAGACAGTTTCCAGGGAACCCTCCAAGAGCAAGGTCCTACTTCTCTGCACGTGGCCAGGGCACAATCAAAGGGAGCTGGGGGCTCGTGCTGATGCTTTCTGGGAGGGGAAACAAGGCTCTGCTCCCTTTGGCATTCCAGATGAAAGGGTGGAAACAGGCAGGTGAGGAGAGGGAGGCAGAGGATGAGAAGATGGGAACTGCTATCCTGGACCTGACCCAAGGGTCCTGTCACTGATACGAGTTTCTGGTAATGGGAAGAAGGGCAGAAACTGGGACAAACAGAGAAGACTCCTTTCCTCTCCCTGCTGTCCCTTCTGCATCCTGCCCACTCCTTCTGCTAGGGCAACAAAAATGTGGAGGGGCAACATCAATCCTCAGTAAAGGCCTTCCCCAAATTACTTAAGATCTCTTCAGCTCTCAAGGTTTTGGGTTTTTTTAGCTTTGTCCACCTACATGAACTTTGCACAGGTGAAGCACGACTGAAAAGCTTCCCTGCTTCCTTCAGCACCAGCCCGTGACTTCCACAAAGTTTCCCTCGGGGAGCTGGCAGATCCCACCCACTTCCTCAGAGCTGTTGCCTCTTTTCCAGCTCTTCTTCCTTTGCCCAGTTAATTTGCTGGCTGTTGGAACAATGCTGGCACAGCTCTCACCAAGTACTTTCTATTCCTCTGCAATCTTGGCTCCGTGTTTGTAAAACAAAGATAAGCACGTGCCCACCTGTGAACACAGCAGGAACCCCAGGCAGCTCTTCCACACCCACTGGCAAGAGTGAGGAGCAGCTGCACGTGCGTAATGCTCCTTCCCCACTACCAGCAAGATGATCCAAGATGATTCCTGCTTTATCTCACGTCCTTATGTATTTATCCAGAAGGCTGGGAGCTGCTCCCTCCCTGCATCTGCCTCGTCTTCCCTTGCCCACAGAGGCAGCTACCTGTGCTTGCACACTGCTCTACACTGCTCAGGTACAGCATGGGTGCCTTGGTACCCATGTATGTCTACCAGCATGGGTAGACACTACCTAGACTGCACGGTGGGCTTCCCCACTGAGCCCACCACTGCCGAGCAGAGACCCTCTGAGCCAAACTCTCGCATCCTCCAGAGACAGACATGTGACTTTCACATGAAGACACCAAGGCAGAAAGGTAAGTTCTGTGTGATTCTGTCCCATGGGCCATGTCTGAGGCCCAGCCAGGAACTGAGCCTGGACTTGCTGAGTCTCACTGCTACACACATCCTTCAAGCTGGGCGACTGGGGACAAAAGCACCCTCAACTTTTCAGTGCGTGCACATGCTCAGGTTTTCCACTTTCCACTGTGCCTGTTGTCAGTGTTACCATCAGCCACATCTCCCAGGGGTCTAGAAACCTGCCCATAAATTGTGGTGCTTAAGAAAAGGAAACAAGCTTGCAGATGGGCAGGTGCAAAAAGCTGTTTGCGTTCACAAACAGAGGCGTTGCTTGGCACAGATGGCTGCACGCACAAAGATGAGAGGTTCACCATCAAAGGCTATTTTTGAAGATCTGGGCCTATCTGCAATGAGATTAGGAAGCAAAGAACTAGAAAGCACATGCCTTTGACCTCAAATAGAAACAAGATCATCAGTTGATAAGTGCTCCACCAAGAAACTCCTTAGTACTGGGACAGTTCTAACAACATGTTTCTCATTTAAATATTATTTTGCTAACTGGAAAGACTGAGAGCAAGGGCAGACAGAGAATGACCTTCTGCAGAAGAGCTCTTTGATCACCTGCACCGATAGCTGAAGAGAAAAGCAGCAAGAATCCAATCTCTTTGCAAGCACTGGGCTTGTTTGGCACCATCAGGTAGAAGGAAGCAGAGCCTGCATGGAGAGGCACAGTGCACGTGGCCATCAGCTCCCCTTCAACCATGTCAAAGGGCTCTGCCTGCTCCACCACACGGCAGCACTTCCTGACAGATGGCCAGAGGATCCTGCAGTGACCACAGCATCCTGCTGCTGCTCCTGAGAAAGCAGCCCTGCCCACAGCTCCTGACAGCAAAGGTCAGATTTGCTCAGCTCTTGGTGTGCCCCAGATCTTAGAGCTGAACAATCACAGCTGGAGCTGGGCAGGGAATTTCTGATGAAATGATTTGTTGCCAGAAAAAAACCCCATCGATTGGGTGAAATAAAATCCTTTGACAGAAATGTACTGGTTATGATGAAAGGTTAGCTGAACGATTTCTTGGGTTGGATTTTCTAGTGAGGAAAACATGATGCTAAGGGAGAAAACCCCACTGCAGAATTTCCAAGTAGCTCAGCCCCTAGGATACAAAATACTCTTGTTCAGTCCTATTCTCTCCAAAGTCAGACAACACTGACCTATTACTGAGCAGATTAGTGACTAAACCACCACCAACCTCCACTGGCATGGTGCTCTGTGAAACCCACCCACTTGAATAAGAAGCTTGAACCAGGCAGTCCTCTAAGCAGGTACACATACCACAAATCCAATCCAGGCATTCACCTCTTCTCTACCTCTTTTTTTTTTGAGATGGATGAAGGGAAAAAGACTGCATTTGCCTTGATTTTATTTTTTTTTTAATCTTTTTGTTTTCTACCACATGAAATTTTCACACCCTAAGAAACTGTTCCCTGTGCAGCACTATCCAGATTATATGATCACCCAAAGATGAAAATGGCCACAGGGCCTAGGACCCTCCTGTCTCACTCAAGCAGGTTTACTATGACAGCTTCCATTTCTCACAAGCCAAACTCCATCTGAGATGTTGCTCTCAGGTGCAATTTATAGGCAGGACATTGGAGACGAGGATTTCAATATTTTAAAGATTTTATTTAATGCCTCAAGCTAGCTTTTCAAGACCAAGGGATCAGAAAATAATTTAAACCTGAGCAGACTAACAATGCAAGAGAAATATTGAATCCTTGACAGGTTCTGAATTTATGATACTAAAATTCTGGAAGCTGAAATGTTTTCTACATTGCAACTAGGACCCACTACTGCCACGAGAGGCTTCAGTAACCAAATGCTATGAAGCAGAGGAAAACTATTGCTATTTTAGAGAACTGAGCTTCAGAGATGCCCAGGACACATACAGCATCAGCCTCAGCTACACCCATGCTCCTACCTACTGCAACTGCAGAACTCATGGGCTTCAGGCACCCCATCTACTCTGCACTGCAAGAGACCAGCAGCACGGTCCCTGGCCAGACGGATCAGCTCAGGAGGCCAGCAGTAGCCCCACTTCTTGCAGCCATATAAGCCATGTCTTGCTCTGGGAGTTTGCACCAAGATGTCTGAAGGGCTTGGGACTGCAGCTGCCAGCCCCACCCTGCAGCTGCAGGCAGCTCTGAAAGCAGTTGGGGCTTATTGTAACACACTGAGATGTGAGGTGATGTGCCTGAGGAGAGGGCAACCCCGGGGCAGAGCAGAGAGCTGCAGGAGGAACTGGCAGCAACCACCCAAATCACTCCTGCACTGGTCCTCCAGCACCTTGCAGAGGCACTGCCAAGGGCCAGGAGGAAACCAGTGACACAGAGGAGGACTGCATCCAGGCCTGCCAGGCTTTGCCCAGCAGCAGCAACACAGCCAATCCCGTGCTAAGAAACTGGAAATAGGAGCAGAAAGCCTTGCACTCACTCTGTGCCAAGGTCAGAGAGCAGAAACACCCAAGTGCAGCTGAAAACTGGATTTGTTCAGGGTTTAGTGGGAGAAGAGCACCAGGGAAAACCCCTCCAGGTGGCTGCACCAACACGCTCACCACTCAGCTCTCAAACCTCACCAACTGCTTTCGCATTAAGTGACTCAACATGAAACCAGCACCATCTGTTATCACTGCCCCTCAAGCACTGGGACACATTCCCCAGCATGATGCTGGCTCTTCAGCCTGCAAGAAAGCAGCAAATCAGGTCTAAACAGCTGGGGTTTGTTCTCACTATCATGTAAGTCTATCAACGAGAATTCCTGAATCTGGACCACAAGGTTGGCCCCCATGTAAATTTTGATTCCAAGCAAGCAGACATTACCAAATGCTGCAGTTTGGTGTCTACATACAAAGGAGACTGTGTTATGTATAGCAAAGGGAAGGAAATCTTTCCAAAGTTCTTTTCCTGCAGTTTTTGCTTCAATTGTTTCATCAAGGAAGGGACTGTCACTAGTGTTAACATGACAGCCCACAAGTGACATCTTTGGCCAGCCCTCACACACTGTTGACTGACCCAGCAAAGCATCAAAGCAGCCCATAAAGAAGCTCTGGATCCCTTGTGAGTCCCTGCCAGGATCTGCCCTGTCAGCTCCTCTGTCAAAGCATGGAGGTGCTCTGATCTCAGCCATCTGTGACCCCAGTCTCACCCCCTCCTCCTTCCAAAATCCAGCAGCCTCATGTTTGGTGACTCACCTGATGAGATATGTGTCCATACAGCTAGAAGGAAAAATCCCACCAATCTAATCTGACAATCATTTTTTAAAATGCACCCTCCTCTGTGCACAGAGAAGAGCAAAACCGGCAATTCAGCTCCCCGTGCCTAGTTTAGCTTTTGTGCATAGCCACTCCAGCCCTCAGATGTGCTTTGTGAAAGCATTACAGTAGCACCTAAGTCCAAAAAACCAACGTGCAGTTCCAGCCACTTGCTGCTCAGGGCTGGACTCCTCCATCAGCAGCAGAGAGAGCTGTCCTACACCTTCTCTACGTGACATGGCCCATGCAGACACCACCTTGTTCTGTTGTCTTCCAACACAATCAAACCCATACAGAAACGCAGGCAAGGCTTGCTTGTGCTTGCCCAAAACCCCATATGTAGATCTACCACTGGCAGACTTGGCCCTGGTTTTTATTTCAGGCAATAACCCTTCCACAATATTGCAGGAGGACTCTGACTTTACTTTGGGGCTCTGTGCTCCATACCTACCCTGCCAGAGTGACAGAATGGGCTTCAGTGAGACTAGGTGCATACCACTAAGCCACAGACTTCAGTCTGTGTAGAAGCCAGGAGTCTCCCAAACCTTTCTGGGATTCAGGCTCATAAGGTCTCAAGGAGACAAGCTGCATCACTATCGGCTGCACTCTTATCAAGAGAAACAAAAATCAATACTTAGCAACTTTTTCGACACCCTGTTCCAGCAGTGACACCACTTTATAAATGTGAGCAGGGACAGTACCAATTAAACTGTCTCCTTCTCTCATCTGTCAAACAACAATAAAAAAGTGCTACATTTGCATTTCTAACATGTTCCTGCTTGCTAGCTGTCAGGACAGCTACTCTGAGGAATGGCTGGCACACAAGGGGAGAGGATGTGATGAAACACAGCAGGGGCAGTGCAGAGCTACAGGAAATCTTTTACTTACTATCTCTGGAAACAGATAATCAACTAGAAGTAGGAAGAGAGTTGTCCTCTTTTTATTTTAGACCATCAAAACATATGGCAACGCATTCCCTTATTGCTTTGTCACCCCTGCTCACAGACGACTGAGAGTTCTGATTGTATTAACACCTCTCAGTACCTTAAAAACAACCCAGTGTTCAGCAACCATCATTTATACCTCTGAATTGTCTTTTATAAGCTATCCACCTTCTCATGATCCAATTATTTATTTTTTCCTTGTGCTTTGATACCTACATTTTTTGGTTTTGCACTCACCTCAGTAACATTCATCACTTTGATTGCTGCTAGCTGTCCAGTCTTAACATGGCGACCCTGTTAAAATAGTAAAAGACTGTAAATGAAACATGCATGCAACTATGTATACACTAACAAATTAGGCATCTAACAAGTCGGCTGGAGTGCTTTCAATCACATACCAATGACCTTCCAGTGATGCCACCCAGGTGAAGTTTGGTGATGTGTTACCAGACCCACACCTTTACCACATTAACAGAGTCACCTTTGCAGAGTTGAATTTTCCCCTTTAACACAAAGCAAGCAGCAATTCTGGGAGACCTTTGCTGTCAGAGCACAACATGGCATGAGTTTATGGATCCACATCCAACTCTTGTTCCATAGGTGTTGCCAACCCCAAGCCTCCTCTCCTAGGAAAGCTCCACAGAGACCCAGGATGGCCCAATCAGAACAGTCTTCTTGTCCTCAAATCCAGGGCTGATGTGTGCTGGGGCAGCAAGGCACTGTCCCCATCTTCCCCCATCTCCCATGTTCTGGCTCACCCTGGGATGAATAAAGAACTCTGGGTGTCAGTACATCAATCTGTCAGCTTGTATGTGGCTGCCAAGAAACTAAAGCTGTATGTATTTTCTCCCCCCCCCCCCCTTTTTTTTTTTTTTTTTTTTTTTAAAAAGGGCTTTTTACTGTGAAATGCTTAGTTTTTTAAATTCTTACTGCACCCAAGTTAACTATATGTCATTTACCTCCCATAAAGCACACAGAGGCTTTGTACCCAAAACATAATCCTCTGTGGTGGTGGGGTGGAACTCTCCCAAGGGTTTGACTGCGTGTGTGCCTACATACCTACACACACTTCACTAGTGAAATGATTAATAATGATCATGGGGTGTGGGCAACAGACAACTGGTAATTTTAGACTAGTTTTTGAAAAGAAAGCTAAGAAAAGGGAGGTAATAGGGAATAAAGCTATTAAATGAGCAAACTTGATACTAAGAATGACAAAATGTGGTTCACAAGAATGTATATTAGAAACACAACCACAAATATCGCTGTAAATTGCAGTTTCTTGGCTTGGTCAGATCAAGTTGCTCAACAGATGCTCCAGATGCAGTGTTTTGCCATGATAACCCAACACTAATCTCATCCTGGAGGGTGGTATCGAAACATTTGTATGACCAGTGGATCGGGTACACATCCCAACTCCTCACTTCCATCAGATGTTTAGAAATGGTATTGAAGCTTTGAGACTGCAATTTTGCTTCTGAAACAGTATTGCCTGCAAAGCTGTATATTGGCATAACGAACTGACATCAATTAAGGAAGCCATAGGAAACCAGGACGTCAGGTATGAAATGCTGCAGTTTGCAGAGAAAGTGATTTGCGGGTGCAATTTATACCTGCAAAATTAAAAGCTAGGTTGATGTCATTTTAAAAGCCAGGTTCTATCTGCCCGAAATTGCATACGGGTGTTGTTTCTAAGACTAAGCAATTTTGCATCAAAGAAAAATGATTCCTCGTCCTCAGGTGATATGTCACAGTCACGTTTTCTTTCACAAAAATATCAATCCTGATGAGTTTTTGTGTATTTATAAGCGTCCTCCTTCCGTGGAAGCACTCCTGGGATTGCAAAGCTTTTTCTCATAAACCACTATGATAGGATTTATGTATTATCACAGACCTCAGGAGGAAAACAAATGGGACACGCCCTCTCCAGGCCCAGGCCCCCCCCACCAGCTGGGCAGTGGTGAGATGTGGTGCTTGGTCAGCATCCACCCCGGCTGACGTCAATCCCCGCCAGCCAGCTTCCTCTGCACAGCCACAGATCCTTTCTTGGGGGCCATTGTTTGCAAATGTTTCCAGGCATTGAACCTCTTGGCAATAGAGCAAGAGAGGGCCCTCCATAAAACACAGTTGTGCTAGACATGCTGGCACCTTGACCTAACTCCAAAGTTGCTCTGGAGTCAAGTATGCTGAGAATCCCATGTCTCTGGTCACCACGCAGACAGGGCAACCAACCTATCAAAACCAGTCTGTCCTGGGCTGCTCTACATTCTGCAAAGGATGATGTCAAGAGTCAACACTAATTTTCACAATTAGAGTGAAGCATGGAGATGTGCTTCTCTAATGAAAAAATAAATGAATCAATACTAGGCTACAATTGCTTGATATTGAATATTCATGAGAATAAGGAAGGGGTGAAAGATTGGCATTCAGTTTTTATTTCAAACCATGATACCTAGTCAAATTGTCCCTCTGTGTAACAGACATCTGTTATTTTACAGCCACAGATATCTCCACTGCATGCAAACCTGCTGCTCTCACTCACTTTTACCATCATAAATAAGAACACTAAATCCCACCCAAAAGGTTTGAAAAAATAGCATTTATGGGAAAGAAACCAGCAAGCCCTTTGGCTTCGTGGGTTGTGATTCACCTCTGCACAAGTGTGTCCCTGTTAACTGAGATGCACAACTCAGTCCTGCTCCTGCATTCCTAAAAGCTCCCATGTTGACAGCTGGGCTCACCAATCCCAAGTTGGACCAGGGTCATGCAGAGGGCTGCAGGTTAACCTCAGGAGAAGATGTAAACATACCTCTAGATTTACATCTGCCTTTCATCAAAGAGCTGAATTAGTTTAAAAGTGTGTATGAAAAAAAAAATGTATCTTGAAGATCATAGCTAAATATGTATCTGCAGCTACATAAAAACATTTCCATCACAAGATACTAATTTTACTGCCATCCTGGCAGCTTTATTTTTGTACATTTTCCCAAAGGAAAGGATCCATCGTTATGGCAGAGCAGCACACCTCAAAAGCCTCTGCACCTGCCAATGTATGCAGTGATGTGGCAGAATTATTCTGCACGCTCCATCCTTACCTCTGACATCATCCCAACATACACAAGTAAAACCTTCCCTTTAAATACTGCCAAAGAAAAAGGTTCATTCAGTGGAGATGAAAAAATATCAGAGAGGCCTAGAGATATCCTAAATTTTATTTCTTCTCCTCCCCAAAACTTCACTGTCTATTCAGCTAGTTATGAAGAAGAGGGGCTGAGGCAAAGCCACCCAACAGCTCAACCAAACACCAGTGGTCCCTGTAAGCAGTGGTTGCACATTGGCACCCTACTGAACTCACCACCACAACCTTAAAAAGCGAGTGGGTTTTTGCAAGACTCCATCCACACTGAGAGGGCTGAAGCTTTCAGAGGGCATGCACGTTCACATGGAGAAGAACCATGAATGCCTGTGCAGCTTATCTGAGCAGGGTGTCATGCTCCATGTTACACCTGCTCTAATGCACAGACTCCAACCATGCTGGCAGCTCAGAACCAAATAACAGGTTTTGCTCCTTTATGTTGGTTTTTCAAACTGTTTGGAGTTTGTTTTCCTTGTATCTCTGAAAGCAGTAAACATCCTGAGGCCAGCCCTGGGCATCTTGTTAACAAACTGAGACTAGTGCCTAAGTAAGGAAAGGTTTCAGGGCTTGGCCCCTTATTTTTCCCTTTATCAATAAATCTCAGAGGTCAGCCAGAGTTCATGGGAACTCACACAGAGCTACTTCTGCTGAAGCCACAAGGTTCAGCATATTTGAATTGTTTTGAGAAAGGTGGTGTTTTGATTTTTGTTCAAAGCTCCTAAGAGCAACTGGCTGTTTTAACCATTTCCCAGCCAAATGAGATCCACCAGTGAATCTTATTTCCAGTGGTGAGACATGCAGAAGTTTGTCCTTTTTGATTTAATTGAAAATGGGAGGAAGAATAAGGGGCACTGTCTTCCCAACCCTCTGTGTAAGATCATCCTCTCCAGATCATTGAAGGGAGTCAGCCTGGTGTGACTGAAGACCCTCTGTTGCACATTTCCTCAGAAACAGAGGGCAGGAATGGTCTGTAAGCCCATTTCTCTAATAAAAGATTTCACCCTTCACCCAAAAGCTCAGTTTGAGAGCAGTTTCCAACTCTGGAGAATGCAGCCAAAACATCCAACAGACATCTGCATGTCACCCATACTCCTACCCAAAAATACAGCATTATATCCTAACAAGCTCATACAGAGCTTAGACATGAACAATTCTGAAGCTCAATGACTTTCTAAAATTGAAGTTCCTGCCTACATTTTGATGAGGTATCCAAGCTGGAATGAATTCTCCCATTAGCTTTGAGTCCAGCTAAATTCCTTGTCTCCTCCAGAAGATATTTCTGCATAAAGTCTGCTGCAGTTGCCAGTTAGTCACTACAGTAACACTCAGCAAACCTGGAGCCAGCACACACATTTTTCACATCTGCATACTGCTCATTGCAGCCACAGTTGTGGAAGATGCTTTATGCCAAAGATCTGGTTCTGATGAGCTCCAACCTTGCATTATCTCTGCAGGGAGATATACATGGAATAGGACTGGTCGCTCAGTGTCATTTCTGTTGGATGTTATTTACCTTTGCAGCTCAGTTAGACAAAGGAACTGCTTATTTATGCCCTCTACTGAGGGTCACGACATGTATTTTTCTGTTGACATCAAACAAGAGTATCAGCATTAGTGGTCAATCCATTAGCTGACAAAGTGGCTTTACATGAATTAAGTATATTTACAGAACGATGCCTTCAGTCACGTACAACACCTTTTCCTGTCAGGTGCAAACAAATATTTGGGCAGCCCCTGGCTTGGGCCAGGATTACAACCAGAGACTCAAGGTCCCAGTGACACACAGCTGAGATGAAGGCTGTGGGTCACATGCAGGGAGCTCCATTTGACAGCTTCTCTCCCAGATCCTGCACAAACCTCTCTTCCTAGGGTGGCAAACAGCTCCCATCAGCTTCTCTCCCTAGCTGTGATCTGGCAGATTTGAAGCAGACAGCTGCAAGTCCAGACAACACGGGGCAGCTGTCCTCTCCTGGTGCTGCACACCACACCAAGGCAGCCCACAGCAGTCCCAGCACACGCTTCCTTTTTGGCAAGAGGTGCTCAATGAACGGCCACGTGTCTCTGGGGCTGTCTGATGTAGCTGTCCCCATTTAACCAGGGCAGGAAAAAGTGCACGTGAAGGGCAGGGACTGCCTGCTGCAGGGTCCCAGGGCAGCAC